ACGGTCGGGACCGTCCCCAAGACGCCGACGGTGCCGAACAGCGGGTTGATGACCCCCACGGGCCCGGAGCTGCGTCGTCGCGAGCGCGGAGGGTGAGGTCGCGGCGAGGAGGGCCTTCTCGGGGAGCGCGAGGGGAGGGACGACGACGACGACGACGACGACGACGACGCGCGCGATACGGTCACCACGGTATCGTCGAGCGGCTCGGCGCACCCGTAGAGCGGCCCGACGGAGGAGCCGTACGCGTAGTACATGCCGCCCTGCGCGCTGATCCCTTGCGCGTGAACGCGGTGTTGATTCAGCATCGCGAACGCGACCGCGAGGAGGACGCTGAGGAGCGCGCGCGCGAGGTCGACGGCCATACTCGTACCTGTAGCGCGCGGGCTGCTCCAAGGGAAGAGGGTCGTCGTGGCTCGCGTCGCGCGGGCGGGCGCGCCGCCGCGCGTCGCCGTCGGAGCGCCGCGGGGGGGGGGAGGACGGAGGCGCGGAGGGCTCATCGCGAGCGTGCGCGTGAACGTCGCGCTCGATCGCGCGGCGCCGTGTGCGGTCGCGCGCGCGCGTCGCGACGAGACGCTCGAAACGGCGCGTCCGACGCGATACGCGTCGGGGCGTCCCGTGCCGTGTCGGTGAACGACCGGGCTGAGCCCATATCTCTCCGGTATCTTTACCGTTGGGCTTGAAAGGGAATTTTATCATACCGGTGAGTCAAAATTGTGAGAACCAAGGAGAAACCGCCACGTAATCTTTTTAAGCAATCGTACCACGGTTCACAGACCCTCGTTTTGGCCCCAATGGGTCGAGTCAGCATCCCTTTTTCATTTTTCTGAGATTCTGCGCCAGACTATTTGCCCATAGCATCATCTGAGTCCCGCCAAAATTTGGAAACCGAGGCTTGCGACTGGCCCCGAGAAACCGCGCGCGCGCTTTTGAGAACAGTTCGAGGTCGCGTCCAACTGCCGCCCGTTGACACACTCAATCGCGCGCCGCACGACTTCGTATCGTGCGACGACGCGACGGTTAACTCTTGAGAAGACTCTCAAGCTTTCACACAGCCCACGCGCAGACGCGGCGCGCGCGTCCGCCGGTGTGCTCCGCGCGCGAATCCGCGACGGAGGGACATCGGGGAAACAAATCCGCGTGAAATCGCCCGCGCGCCCGAACGCGCGTTCGAGCCCGCGCGCGCGCCTCGCATCGAGCGCGTCACGCACGCACGCGCGTGAGAAACACGCGAACGAGCGCGAGTCGCCGTTCCGTCCGGTTTTCGCGTCGTCGACACCGTCGGAACGCGTTCGATTCCGCGCGCGAAGTCGAGGGAATACCCCATCATCGTAGCGCCATCGGAGCCGTCGATTTGAGCGAGATGGCGAGCGCGAACAACGCCGCGGAAACCGCGCCGCAGCCCAGGTGCGCGCCCGCGCGACGCGCGCACACGCCCGATTTCGCGACTTGACGCGTTTCTCGAGACGTTCTCGCGCGTCATCGCGCGAGGCGGCGAGGGCGCGCGCGGGTCGCGGCGCGCCCTCTCGCCTCCTACGTGTTCAAATCACGCGGCTCTGGTTTCCTTTTCCACCGCGGCGTATTCTCTTCTCGATTCCCCGGGAAAAAAACGCGTCGAAGCGCGCGAACGCGCGCGCGATTCGCGAGCGATCACGCGAACCCGCGCGCGTTCGCGCGTCTTGGCGTCCTCGAGCGTTCGAACGACGTCGTCTCCGCGTCTTCTCGCGCTCGAGGACGGCGCGCGGCGCGCGCGATGGCCCCGATACCAGTTCGGGGTGACGCGACCGACCAACGTCTCTTTTCAATCCGAAAACCTGTGTTCTGGCGAAATCTCACAAACCCCCTCTCTCCCGTCCCCATCCTCCCTCCTCCCTCCTCTCTCCCTCGCAGCCAAGCCCCGAGCGCGCACCACGCGCCGCACGCGGTCGCGCACCCCGGCCTCGTCCTCCCGCAGCAAGCCATGAACGCGGCGGCGAAGCTCGCGCGGTACGGCGAGCACGCGCGCCCGCCGTCGAACCACCAGGTGCCGTCGCTCGTGGAGGTGCAGATGCTTCTCAACCGCGGCCGCGCGATGCTCGGCGTGCCGCCTCTGCCGATGACGAAGGTGCCGTCGCTGAAGGAGCTCAACGCGCGCGTCGCGTCGCCGGTCGCGCTGCCGTTCGTCGCGATCGCACAGCAGCAGTACGAGCAGCAACAGCAGCAGCAGCAGCACGCGAACGACGCGAGTGCGGCGGCGGCGAACCCCCCGCCCGACCCGAGCGGCGACGGCGACCTCGCGCCGTGCGCCGGGAAGGTGTGCTTCAACTGCCGGACGCAAAAGACGCCGCTGTGGAGGAACGGCCCGGACGGACCGAAGACGCTGTGCAACGCGTGCGGGGTGCGGTTCAAGCTCGGGAAGCTCCCGCCCCCTGGCGGGTTCCCGCCCGGGCATGTCATCCCGAAGCCGCCGCCGCGGAAGCGACCGGCGGGTAAACTCGTCGACGCGGAGGGGAAAGTCAAAAAGCAACGCGTCGGCGGCGACGAGGCTAATCCCAACTTGACCGGCGCGAGGAAAAAGAAGCGAACGATCAGGTTACACAACCCCAACGCGAACGGGTTCCATCACAACGACGAGAACCACGGCGCGCGGTTTACGGCGCACGGGAAGTTGCACGCGGCGAGAAGCGCCGAGGCGATGACGGAGTACGACGGCGCCGTCTTGCTCATGGTGCTGGCGGGGCTGTATAACCAATGAGGACGCGCCCGGTCTGGTCGGTCTTTTCGTCACGTGCCGGGCGCGATTTACCCCTCATTTACGTGTTGTATTCTTTCCCTGCTGCTGTACTGTACCACTGTAACCTGCCGCCGCCGCCCCGCGGGCCGGGGAGGCGAAAAATTTGTTGTATCTTTGAACGAACGACGGCGACGCCGCGTGCGAGGAGCCGAGCGGCGCCCCGGGAGAGCCGGGGCGCCCTCGGCGGCGCGAGCGACGCGTGTATACTGACGATTGTTTCTATATTAGTCAACGTGCGGTCGAGCCCTGCGAAGGGAGGCTCCCGCCCTGGACGTCGGTGTGTATAATATCCGCGAGATCACGACGCCGCGACAACTGTATGATGAACTAGCCACTCGCGTCGAAGACGCCTTAGCGAACGGAGGGGACTGTAAACTGATATACAAAACGCCCCATCTAATAACCAACGCTCATCCATCTCGTCAAATAATACTACGCCCTAATCAGTGCAGCTCCATGAACTTATCCATGCACACGGACAGCGCGCCCATCGTCGCGCACCCCATCGCCATCCCTTGCGGCCCCGACGACCGAGCCATGACGCCCCCCGTGAAACACCCCGCGTACGCGCTGTTGTAGATGTCGTGCTTCGCCCGCGTCTGCTCGAACACGCACTCGCTGCCGCTGTACAGCGCCCCGAACGCGGCGAAACCTTTCGCGTACGAGTACGACTTGGACAGCGTGCTCCTTCCCGCCTTCTTCAGCTGCTGCACGATCGTCTGCTTCTCTCCCTCCGTCGGCGTCATCGGATCGAACGCGCCGAAGAAGACCCCCATCGCGGCGCCGAGGAAGCCCCCCATCACGGTCGCGAGGACGGTCTTCACCGCGCAGTTGTTCATGAAGTCCTGCATGATCATGTCGTCCTGCGTGGGCATGTCTATGCGCTTATATTTCGGCTCCGGGGCCCCGGGAGGCGGCGCCGGCGCCGCGGGCGCGGCCGCCGCGGGCGCGTCCATCTCGCCGCCGGCGCCGCTCGTCGGCGTCTCCGACATCGCCCTGGTCGATCGCGCGCGGGGACGCGCGCGCGCGCGGCTTCTTCGCCTCGAAGGCGCGCGCTGAAGGACGGCGAAGGTCGCTCCGCGTGGACGGAGCCGCGAGACGAGAGATACGCGGTCGCGGCGCGACGGCGACGACGACGACGGCGCGCGCGAGATCTCTGCGGCGAAATCCTCCGTACACCACATAAGGTTACAAGCTCGTCTCGTACGTGCGTGTCATCACGTGGCTCTCGTCGTACGTAAAATCGTGATGCTAGCGCCCGTCTTCGGACGTCGTCCTCTCGTTCGTTCTACTCGCGTATCACGCCCGCTTCACTCGCGCGACGCGGAACTGGTCCTCCTCCTCCTCCTCCGCCTCCTCCTCCTCCACGTCTTCCGCCGCGCCGACGCTGTCCACGCTCGTCATCGCGCTGTACAGCTCGTTGTTGTCCGGTAACGTCACGGTTTTTTCATCCGCGGCGGTGAGGGCGGCGGCGGCGGCGGCGGCGGCGGCGTTCGCGGCGTCGGCGTACCCTTCGTCGCCGTCGCCGTCGCCGTCACCCGCGCCCGCGCCCGCGACCTCTTCGCGCTCCTTCTTCACCGCGCGCACCGGGCTGCCCTCGCCGCAGAACTCGAACGCGTCCGGCGTCGGCGGCGGCGGCTTCGCCGCCGCCGCGTTTTTTTTCGTCTCGCGCTCCGGCGGCGACGGCGCCAGCCTCGGCGCGGTCGCGTCCGCGACGTGCTCGCCGTCCACGAACGCGTCCTCGACGACCTCAGTGATCTCCATGGGCGGCGCGACGACCGCCGCCGCCCTCGGTTTGGGGATCGTCGGTTTCGGTCTCGGCGAGGGACGCGTCGCCGTCGGCGCCCGAGGCGGCTCGAGCTCCTCCTCCCCGACGACGTCGAACAGAGTCTCGTCCATCCCGCCGCCGCCGCCGAACCCGTTCTTATCCGCCTCCGCGCGCCGGACGTCCTCCGCGCGCTTCCTCACTAGCGCGCTCGGCATCTCGCCGAACAGCGAAGGGAAGATGAGCGACGGCGTGGACGCGACGTACGCTGCGTGTCGGTCGCCGAAGCGAAGGCGGAGCTCGCGCTCTTCGAGCCTCGCGACGAGGTAGAACGCGGCGACTTGGACGCACAGCGCGGCGTACACCGCGGCGATGTTGCACGCGAGCGCGATGGACGCGGTGCCGATCCGTTGCGTTGTGTGGTTTGTATTTGTGGGGGGGGGGAGAGGAGGGGATGGGACGGAAGCGAGGGAAGAGCAGATAACAGACGACGCTGGGCGCCTAATACAGTACTGGCTCTCTGGGCGACGCGGAGAAATGCAGTCCTGGGACGGAGCCACTCGAGCACTGAAGCTATTGAGCTTGGACCAAACAAACCCTCGAACGCCGCGCCCCCGCTTCGGGTCCAGGACGGGTAAGACCTGGACGCACCAGTATCTGCGCGTACCGCGGGTGCCTCACGACCGCGTACACGCCGGACGTCCGCAGCCTTCCTTCCCTCCCGCCGCGCTCGAGCTCGCCTCTGAACCCGCACGTGGTGAGAAGGTCCATCTCGCGCGTCCACGCGAGCCTGAGGTAGGACGAGAGCGCGAAGAGCGCTGCGGCGACGCCGAGGGCGAACCCGCTCGGAGGTCCGAGGTCGCCGCCGCCCCACCGCATCGTCTCCTCCCTGTACTCCGGCCTCGCGCCGTTCGCGACGAGCGCGACGACGAGCGAGGCGTGGAACGCGAGCGTGAAGACGCGCCCGAGCCGTCGCCACAGCGCCGCGAGCGGGTGTATCGACAGCCAGCACGGCAGGACGTAGAAGGTCCCGGCGAGGACGACGTACCCGGCCCAGTGCCGCGCGGCGTCGAACCGCGCGGCGACCGCGGGGGCGAGTTTCTCGCGCATCTCGCGCATCATCGTCGCGCAGGGGGGGCAGAGCGTCGCCGTCGCCATCGCGCGCGCGCGCGAGGGCGTCTGCCGGCGCGAAGCGAACACGGCGCGGGAAAGACCTAAAGCTACGACGCGTCGAACGCGCCGAGAAGGCGTTTTGGAAGCCTGCGTGGTCGAAGAACTTTTTTTTCACTGCACAGCACGCACCGCAGTCGCGGAAGCGCGAGGACCTACCCACCTACCGTAGAAGTCATCGCTTCACCGCGACGATGAACGCGCACTCGTACACTGTCTGACACATAGACATCTTATCCCCGGTGTACTTGCTCTCGCGCATCTCCTTCTTCACGACGTCCAACCCCACCGCGTCCGCGACTCTCTCGACGTCCTCCAGGCTCATCTCCACGCTCATCTCGTCGGCGCTCAGATAGCCATCCGCGTCCGCCCAGTGATACAGCAGCGGGCCGAAGTTGACCCACACCGCGCCCGGTTTCAAGCACCGCGATATGATCTCCAAGTACTCGATCACGTTGTGCGCGGTGTCGATGAAGAAGCACGTCGCGACCGCGTCCCACCGCCCCGCGTTCTCCGCCGCGCCGTACACCTCCACGAAATCGCCCGCGCACATGCCCATGCACCCCGGGGGCACGCCCGCGTCGCACGCGGGCACGTCCGGGACCTTCACGCCGCGGAGTTGATTCGCGTCGCTCAGGTGATTGTTGTTCGTGTGCATCCACGGGTGTATCGTGAACTGCTCCGCCTTCGTCGCGTGGTTCAGTATGAACGACGACGTCAGCAGCATGTAGTAGCTGTATTCGTTCCCTTCCGACTCCCACCCGCGACGCGCGCACTCGAGGACGAGCCTCCCTAACCCGGCGCCCGGGACCATCACCCGCGGCGGCGGCCTACCGGGCACCGCCTTCAGCCTGCGCTCCAGCTCCGCGAGGATCGGCCCGTGCGATTGAAGGCGCTCGTCCGCGGCCTCCGCGCTCCAATCCCTCGCGAGGTTCTTCAGGACGTACAACACCTTGACCGCGTCCGACGGCGCGACGGGCTCGTGCGCCATCTCCCCCGGGGGCGGGACGCGCAAGTGCGGCGGGACGTCGTCGCCCGTGAAGGATGATAGCATCTCCTTGAAGAAGTCGTCGTTGCGTTTCACGCATCGATACGCGTCGTCGTGCTTCGCGACGTGATGGGACAGCAGCGCGCGATGGTTCTCGGGGAGCCGCTCGTAGTTTCGCTCCCATCGATGCACCTCCCTCGCGGCGTCGCTCGCGTAGTCTCGCATCGCGCGGACGATCTTAAGGAACGCGGCGCGCTCTAGTTCCTCGTCCGCCTGCTTCGCGATCGCGTTGTCGCGGTCCCATCCTTTCGCCTTCTCGTGCTCCTCGGGCACCGTCATCGACGTCGCGCCTCCCCGATCTGATCGATCGATCAGGTGCCGCTTCTTCGCGCGTTTTCGGGCCGCGCGTGCGACGACGATTCGATCACGCGTAACACCACCGACCGACGCACAGAGGGACGCGCCCGCAGCCGGGGCGAGCGGGTCGCGTCGCGCTCGCGAGGAGGTCGCCGCGGGTGCGAACTCTACGGCGCGGTCGTCGCGGGCGCGCCGCGATCCGCGGGCGGGCGGCGCGATGTCGGAACCGGACGAGACGGACCTCCGCGCGACGGTCGCGCGATGCGAGAAAGAGATCGAGCGCCTGAAGAGCGTGAACGAGAAGCAAACGCAGGCGGCGATGAACGCGACGAGGAAGGCGTTCGACGCGCAGACCGCGCTGGAGAAGCAGCTCGAGAGCGCGACCGCGAGCGCGGAGAAGGCGCTTCGAGACGCGAAGGACGAGGCCGCGAAGGAGCACGCGCACGCCGCGGAGGAGATGGCGGATCTGAAGAAGAAGCTCAAGAGCGCGAAGAAGGCGCGCGATAAAGAGCGCGAGCTCGCGGACGAGAAGGACGAGGAGCTCGGGAAGTTCACCAGAAAGCTGCAGGAGGTCATGGACCTGCTCGACCAGAGCCGCGCGGAGTGCGACGCGCTGCGGCGCACTCAGAGCGGGGACGGCGCGTCCAAGGAGCTCGAGAAGACGTCCGGACAGCTGCGCGAGCTGCGCGACACGCTCGAGAAGGAGCGCGCGGAGGCGACCGCGCTGCGCGCCACCCTGCGCTCGGTCGAAGCGAACGCCGCGGCCGCGGAGGCCAAGGCGAAGAGAGAGAGAGAAGAGTCGGAGATGACGTTGGAGTCGATGCGGACGGCGTTGGCGATGCAGATGGACGCGGCCAAGGCGGCGCAGAGAGAAGCCGTGGAGAAGACGCAGTTCGCCGCCGGGCTCGACGTCGCGCGCGCGCAGGAGGCGATCGGAAGAGCGGAGGTCGCGGAGGAGAAGCTCGCGGAGTCGGAGCGACGCGCGGTCGCCGCGGAGAAGAGGGCGGCGGCGGTCGAAGAAGAGCTCGCCGCCGCGAACGAAAAGGCGGAGTGGAATCTGAAAAAGGTGAAGAAGGCGATCGAAAAGGGGAAGGGCTACGAGACCGAGAAGAACGCGCTGGAGACGCGCGTCGCCGTGCTCGACGCGGAGCGTAGGGCGCTCGAGGAGCGCGCGAAGTCCTCCGAGGCGAACGAGAAGAAGCTCGCGGCGGCGCGGGAGTCGTTCAAGAAGGCGACCGAACGTAACGCGGCGCTCGAGGCGGAACTCGCCGCGGCGAACGAAAAGGCGGAGTCGGACCTGAAGAAGATCAAGAAAGCGATCGAGAAGGGCAAGGCGTACGAGACGGAGAAGAACGCGCTCGCGGGCAAGGTGGACGAGCTCGAGCTTGAGATCACGCGGCTCGCGTCGAGCGCGGAGAAGTCCAGCCGCGGCGCGGAAGCCGCGGAGACGGCGACGAAGGCGGCGGCGGAGCACGAGAAACGCGCCGCCGCCGCCGAAGAAGCGCTCGAAGCGGCGACGAAACGCTGGGAGGACGCGGAAGCGAAAGCCGCCGCGAGTCTCAAAGAAGCGGAAACGCACGCGGAGTGGAACATGAAGAAGCTTCAGAAGGCGATCGAGAAAGGGAAAGGGTTCGAGCAGAGAGTCGAAACCTTGGACGCGGAGATTGTCGCGTTGAAGGCGTCCGTCGACGCGCGCGAAGCCGCCGCCGCGGATGCGCAGAAAACGCACCTCGCGGCCGTCGCGTCGGCGGAAGCGACGGCGATGATGAAGGTCGAGGAGGCGCGCGTCGCGCACGCCGCGGAGATCGAAAAGGTCAGAGCGGACGAGGCTGCGAACGCGGCGAACGCGGCGAACGCGGCGGCCACGGCGGCGAACGCGCTCGCCGCCGCGGAGAAAAAGCTCGCCGCGTCGAGGGAGTCTCTGAAGAAAGCCTCGGACCGGTGCGCCGCGCTCGAGGACGAGTCTCGCGCGATGAAAAACTCGCTCGAGGACGCGACCGCGAAGCTCGCCGCCGCGGAGGAGCGAACGAGCGCGGCGGAGACGCGCGCGAGCGCGTGGGAGTCGCGCGCGTCCGCGGGCGTCGACGAGGCGGCGTCGCGAAGCGCGGAAGCCGAGGCGGCTTTAGCGGACGTCGCCGCGAAGTTAGCCACCGCGGAGAAGCGCTGCGCGGTCGTGCAGAACGTCGCGAACGCGGCGAAGGAGCGATCGGACGCGGATGTCAGCGCGATGCGCGAGAAGCTCGCGGACGCGGAGAAGCGCTGTTCGGCGGCGGCGGAGAGAGCGAGCGCGGCGGACGTCGCGGAGAAGGCGCTCGCCGCCGCGTCCGACGCCGCCGCGGCTGCGACGGAGAAGGCGGAGTGGAACATGAAGAAGCTCAAGAAGGCGATCGAGAAGGGCAAGGGGTACGAGCAGAGGGTCGAAGTGTTGGAGACTGAGCTGAAACGCGCGAAGGCTGACGCGGAGGCGCGCGACGCGGAGGCGGAGGCTGCGAAAAAGACGCGCGCGAAGGAGACGCGCGACGCGGCGGCGAAAACAGCCTCCGCGGAGGAGCGCGCGGACGGCTTACGAGAGCGCGTCGCGTCCCTGGAGGCGGAGCTCGAATCTCAGCAGTCCGCGGCCGCGGAGTCGAACTCGAAAGCCTCCGAGGCTGCGCTCGCGTCCGCGCGCGCGAGAGTCGCGGAGCTGTCTGACGAAGTCGCGCGCGCGACGCGGGACGCCGACCGACGCGAGCGAGAAGCCGCCGCGGCGACCGCGGCGGCGGCGGAGTCCGCGACGGAGCTCGAGAGAGCGAGGGAGTTCCGCGCGAAAGCGAAGGCGAAGATCGCGGACTACGAAGCGAAGGTCGCGGCGAAAGACGCGGAGTGCGCGAAGTTGGCGGGAGACGTCGAGGCGTCGAAGGCGGAGCTCGCGGCGTCGGCGGAGAAGCTCGCCGTCGCGGAGAAGCGCGCGAAGGTCGCCGCCGACGTCTCGCGCGCGATCGAGACGAAATCGACCGCGCTGGAGACGGAAGTCGCGACGTTGAAAGAGAAGCTCGAGACCGCGCGACGCGACGTCGACCGCGCGCGAGAGGCGGTCGTCGCCGCGAACGAAGTGGCTGGCGCGCGCGTCGCGAAGGCGCAGCGCGACGCGGACGCGCGCGTGGACGCCGCCAACGCGGAAGCCGGCGCGCGCGCGGAGGCGGCGGCGAAAGCGGCGGCGGCGGCGGCGGCGGCGAACGCGGCCGTCGCCGGCGCGACGGAAGATCTGGAGAAGAAGCTCGCGGCGTCCCGTGGCGAACTCGAGAAGGTCAAAGCAGACGCGGCCGCGGCGATGGAGAAGGCGAAGAACACCGCGAGCGCGCAAGTCGCGGCGGCGACGATGGAGGCCAAGGCGCTCGCGAAGCGAAACGACGAGGAGGCGAGTAAACGGCTCGACGCGTCGAAACGCGAGACCGACGCCGCGCTCGCGAAGCTGAAGAAAGCGATCGAGAAGGGCAAGGGCATCGAGAAGCAGAAGAACGCGCTCGAGTCGACCGTCGCGGAGCTCGAGGGCGTCGTCGCGGGCTTGAAAGAAGCCGCCGCCGCCGCGGAGGGCGGGTCCGACCTCAAACTCGAGCTCGCGAGGACGAAAGAAGAGATGGAGAGCCTGCGCGCGTCGTTAGAGACGTCCAAGGCTGCGTCCGGCCGAGCCGCCGGGGAGGCGATGGTCGTCGCGAAGAGGATGGTCGAAGACAAAGAGAACGAGCTCAAGTCCGCGCTCCAGGACGCCAACGACGCGAGGGACGCCGCGGAAGCCGCGGAGGCGGTGGCGGAGGAGGCGCTCGCGGAGGAGCGCGCCGCGCGCGACGACGCGCTCGAGGAACTTCGCGACCTGAGAGAGAAGCTCGCGGCCGCGCCGGACCCGGACCCGGACCCGGTCGATCGCGACGCCGTCGACATGGAAGCGCTCAGACGCGAGGAGGACCTGCGCGCGGAGGTGAACGACCTCGTCGTCGAGCTGGACGAGGCGAGGGAGGAGGCGGCGGTCGCCGCCGGCGCGGCGGATGCGAAGATCACGCGTCTGGAGGAGCGGCTCGCGAAGACGGAGCTCAAGCTCGGCGGCGCGTCCAACGCCGCGCGCGAGCGCGAGGCCGAGGCGACGAGGCGGCTCGAGCGCGCGACGGAAGAGATCGCGGAGCTCCGGAGGAAGCTCGTCGAGGTGACGTCCGAGGCGGCGTCGAGTTCGAACGATCTCGACGCGATGCGCAAACGTCTGGAACGCCAACTCGAAGACGCGACCGCCGCCGCGGAACCGCTGCGCAGAGAGCTCGAGGACGCGAACGCGAAGATTGCGAATATGGGCGCGTCGAACGGGCAGCTGCTCCTTCGCGTCGTCGCGCTCGAGTCTTCGCTATCGGAAGCCGAATCGGAGGCTTCAAACTTGAAAAACGCCGCGGCGGCGGCGAGACACGAAAAGGAAGTCGAAGAGGTGGAGGACTTGCGCATCGAGCTCGCGAGGACGAAGAAGCGCGCGGAGCTGCTCGAGGAGAATCTTCTGGACGTCTCCAAACGCGCCGGGAACGCGGAGGTCACGAGCAGGGACTACATCAAGAATAAAGCCGAGGCGGAGAACGCGGCGCTCCACGCGACCGCGATGATCAAAGCCACGGCGGCGGAGCGAGACGAGGCGGCGAGGGAGCGAGACGAAGCCACCGCCGCAGCGGTGGACGCGTGGCGGGAACGCGACGCGGTGATTAAAGACTGCGAAGCGAGGGTCAAAGCCGCGGAGAGTAAGATCAACGCGAAGGACAGAGACCACGCGGAGGCGCTGCGACACGCGCGGACGGAACTTCAGGACGCGAAGTCGATGGCGAAGGAACTCGAGGACGAGTGCGAAAAGTTGCGCGCGCGCGTCGAGGAAACCTTCACCGCGTTGCGGGGCGCGCACGCCGTCGCGGAGCAGACGAAAAAAGCCGCGCAGGAGGCGGTGATCGAGGCGAGGAAAGAAGCCATCGCGGTCGCGATGGCGGACGCCACCGCGGACAGGAACGCGGTCGCGAAGCAGCGCGACGACGCGAGCGAACGCGCGGACGCGCTCGCGAAGACGCTCGCGGTGGAGACGAGACTCCGCGAGCGTCTCGCCGACGAGCTCGCCGACGCCAAGGCGCGACTCGCCGGGGCCGGGGCCGGGGCCGGGGCCGGGGCCGGGGCCGACTCGCGCGACGCGAGCGCGCCGAGCACGCCTCGGGATAAAGTCAACAGCTTCGGCGGCGGCGGCGGCGGCGTCGGCGCGTTCTTCGGGTTCGGCGTCCGATCCGCGGCGCCTTCGTCCGCGGCGGCGTCGTCGCCGGCGTCGCTCCCGAGCCCGCCGCGCGACCGCGGATTCCGAAAGTCCGCGGCGACTCGAAAGCTGGACATGGTCTCGTCCGTCCCGGCGAAGGAACCCCCCGCGACGGAGCGCGCCGCGGCGGGTGCGGGGCCCGCGAAGAAGCCGCCGTACGTCGCGTGGTCCGCGCCGCCGGGACGACGCGACGCGTTGGACGACGAGATGGACTCCGCGCGGGCGATGCTCGAGATGATCGCGAAGAGGCGACAAAAAGGATGACGGACGAGAACAAAACGTTCCGCTAGCATTGAAACCAAGCTACGTGGCGATTAGCGCCGCTATGACGGAGTATCAAAGTTCGCCGTCGCGACTGAACGCGCCTCCCCCGAACGATTTACCCATCGCCTTCTTCGTGATGAACAAACACGCGAGCGCGATGAGGAGCTGCTGGAGGAGCGTCTGCGCGATTCTTTTCGCGACGCGCGTCACCTTCTGCTTCGTCGTGAGACCGGACCAGTCGCCTTCCCTCGCGGTCGCGACGCTCACGTCCCCCGTCTCCGACGCCGACTCCGCGGCGGCGGCGGCGGCGGCGACGGTGTCTTCTCTCTTCATCGTCTCTTTCGACTTCCCCGCGCCCCCCACCGCGACATCGTTCAGGCGTTTCAACTCCTCGTCGGCGCGCGCGGCGTCGTCCGCGGCGTCCGCCGCCGTCTCGAGCGCCATCCTCGCGCCCTCTTTCAATCGCGCCACCTCCGCGCGCCGTCCCTCGGCTTCTTTCGCGTCGCTCACGGTGACGTCTTTGAAGCTGATCTTCTCCCCGCGGGACTTACAGAACCGCTGCACGCGCTGAAACTTCCCGAGCACGGACATGATGGCGGCGTCGTTTTCGTATTTTTTCACGTTGTGGAAATCCTTCACGACGTCCTCCACCGCGCCTCTCACGCGGGCGCTCGCCATCGCGACTTGGAACTCGTCGTCTTCGACGAGCTTCAGGAGGAACTCCCGCAGTTCGGCTTCCTTAGCGAGGTCCGCGTGCGCGTCGAGCGCGCGCCACGTCGCGGGGGGCACGCCTTTCGCTTTCCTGTCCGCGACGGGCGTCGCCGCCCACGCCTCGGCGCGCTCCGCGCGAACGTCCGCCGCGTCCGCCGGCGGCGTCGCCGCCGTCTTCGTCGTCTTCGTCTTCGTCGTCCTCTTCTTCGTCCCGGGGCCCGACGTCGCCGCCATCGCCATGATCTCCTCCGCGACGCTCGCGCACGCCGCCTTCGCCTCCTCGCTCGGCGTCAGCGCGTCGTCCCGCGCCGCGCGCTTAAACAACGCCGCCGTCGCGGGCCCGCACGCGTCGCGTCGCTTTTCATCCGCCAGCAGCGCCCTCGCCGCGTTCGCCGCGCCCGCGGCGGCGGCGCAGTGCAGCGGCGTCATCCCCGCGGGCGCTCTCGCTCTCGCTCTCTTGTTCTTCCCCTTCCCCGGGCCCTTCGCGTCGTCGTCGTCGTCGTCGTCGTCGTCGTCCGCGTCACCGGTGACGCCTCGCTCGAGGAGCCACGACACGACGTCCGCCGCGTCCATGGCGCACGCGGCGTGCAGCAGCGTGTACCCGCCGTCGACGCGCTCGTCGATCGGATCGACGCCGCCCTCGCGCGTGAGCGCCTCCGCGATGTCGAAGCGTCGTCGCATCACGAGCGCCTCGCACAGCGGCGTGAGCTTCAGCTTGTTCGTCGCGCTCGCGTTCGCGCGCGCGCGGAGCAGCGCGGAGACGGTCGCGACGCCCGCGTGCCGGCACGCGAGGAGGAGCGGCGTGTCGTCCGCGTGATCCGGAGCCTCGACCCACGCGCCTCGCGCGCGGAGGATCTCCACGACGTCCGCGCGGTCGTGCATCGCCGCGAAGTGTAACGGCGTGCGGCCGAGCTCGTCGTCCTCGTCCGCGTCGACGCCGTGCGCCAGGAGCATCTCGACGACGCGGACGTGCCCGTTCGACGCCGCGAACGTCAACGGCGTTCGGCCAGCCTTGTCGCGGCACGCGAACGTCGCGCCCGCGGCGAGGAGCGATCGGACGTCGTCCTCCGCGCCGAGCTCGCACGCGGTGAGGATCGCGTCCGCTTTGCTTCGCTCGCGTTCCGCCTCCGCGCGCGCGGCGTCCATGGCGGGAGGCGCGCGCGTGGGGGGGGGGGGGGGCGCGGCCNCTCNTCTTCCGCCTCNCGCCGACNCGACTGCGGCGGCGAGAAGCGCGTCCGCGAAGAACTGCTTGATGAGAAAGCGGAAGAGACGCGTCAGCGTCAGCGTCTGGTTCGATGAAATGAATTCTCGTTCCGGCGGTCGTCGTCGCGAACGACTCGGCGGCGCGGACAGTGGGGCGCGCGCTCGATAACGCACCCCCCCGCGTCGACGCGACTGGCGCATCGCACGGCGCATCCCGCGTTCGCGTCGCGGTTCCGTCGCGTCGATCGCGCCCGCGAGCGCGGATCGCTTCCGTTCGTCGGGGCCGAACGGAACGAAAAGCGCGCCGGCCGATCCGCTCTCTACAACACAACACAGTAGTCCGTCCGCGCGCGCGGCGCTCCGCGCGAGGCGATAGCCGACGAACGATGGCGACGGACGACCACATGAAGGTCGAGCACATCGGCCTCCCCGACGGCGCGACGAGCGCGTCGCTCGGGGACTACCTCCTCGAGAACGGGCGCGTCGTTCGCGACGTCGTGCTCGGGTACACCGCGTACGGCGAGCTGAACGCGTCGGGGGACAACGCGATCGTCGTGGGGCACTCGCTGACGTCCAACAGCAACGTCACGGAGTGGTGGGGCGCGATGTGCGGGCCGGGGGAGCAGTTCGCGCTGAACACGCTGGAGGACTTCGTGATTTGCGTCAACTACCTCGGGTCGCCGTACGGCAGCAGCGCGCCGACGACGGCGGACCCGGACAAGGCGGACGGAGGATGCTACGGCGCGGACTTTCCAACCCCGGTGTCCATTCGCGACAACGTTCGGCTGCAAAAGATGCTCCTGGACTCGCTCGGGGTGAAGCACCTGAAGATGGCGATCGGCGGGAGCATGGGGAGCATGCTCGCGTTGGAGTGGGCGGCGACGTTCCCGGACTTCGTCGAGGAGCTCTGCCTCATCGCCGGATGCGGGCGGCACACGGACTGGGCCATCGGCATCGGCGAGGCGCAGCGATTCAGCATCATGGCCGACGGCAAGTTCAAAGGCGGGTCCTACGACGTGAACGACCCCCCGAAAGCGGGCCTCGCGACGTCGCGCATGATGGCGATGCTGTCCTACCGCGCCCCCGCGAGCGTGGACCAAAAGTTCGAACGCACGGTCACGATGAACTCGAAGACGGGCGCGGCGGCGCCGATGGCCAAGCCGTCGTCGCACGTCGACCTCAACAACGTCGTCGCGCACGCCAACGAGAAGGCGCAGTCGCTGCCGTACTTCGCGGTGGAGTCTTACCTGCAGTACCAAGGGAAAAAGTTCATCCGAAGGTTCGACGCGAACTGTTACATTCAGCTCACGTACACGCTCGACTCGCACGACGTCGCGCGCGGCCGCGGGGAGTATCGCGACGTGCTGCGATCGCTGAGACACCGGGTCCTCGTCGTCGGGATCACGTCCGACGTGTTGTATCCGTTCGCGCTGCAGCGCGAGCTCGCGAGGGAGATGCCGCACAGCGAGCTGTACGCGATCGACTCTCCGCACGGGCACGACGCGTTCTTGATCGAGATCGCGTCGTTGAACGTCGCGGTGACGCGGTGGCGAAACGGCGAGCCCGCGACGCTCGGGAAGTTACGGTGGAAGGCGCCGGAGGAGGAGACCAGGGCGTCGAGCGAGGACGTGGGCGAGCTCCAGGCCGCGGTCAGGGAGCTGGAAGAGGATCTGGCGAGGGCGAGGGAGATGGAGGGGAAGGAGCGCGACCGCGCGGACGCGCTGCTCGCGCAGATGAAGGCGATGAAGGATGCGGAGGCGCGTCGCGTCGCGGAGGCGGGCCGCGACGGCGGCGGCGGGGGCGGCGCGACCGCCGCGGCCGCGAGCGGGTTGTTCGACGGCGGCGGGACGCTGACGGGGACGCTGCACGGGATGAACGTCCTCCCGGCGAACCCGCCGCCGTCGACGCGGCGCTGGGAGCCGGTGTACGGCGATACGAAGGCCGCTTGGGGGCTCGGAGCGTTCTAGTCTTAGCACCCACGGAGTGTCAACGCTCGACGATTGAAATTATTTACGCTTGCGGTTCTCTGCTGTTGAGTGCACGCAACTTTCCGCGGAAAGGAGGTTTTCGTGTCCAAACCTCGCGGCGCGGCCTCGATACGCGCGCTTCCCTCGCGCGCTTTCCGTCCGCGTCTCGGAACGACCCCCGCGATGGCCTCCTCCATCGCGGTCCCCGTCGTCGAGGTCCTCGCGGACCCGCGTCGGCGTCGCGCGAGGACGCTCAGAAACCACCGATGCCCTATCGATAATCGCGGGAGGCAACCGACGACGACGACGACGCGCGCGTCCTCGGCCGCGGCCGCGGACGCGCAGCAGGCGGAGTTCACGAAGTGGAGAGACGCGCGCGACATCAAGTCCCCGAACGTCGAGGTCGCGTACTTTGGCGATCCCGACGACACGGTGATGCGCTACCGCGGCGTGAAAGCGAAGAAGAAAATCAATCCCGGGGACGTCCTCGTGGAGCTCCCCAGGGAATCGTGCTTAGTCCTCGCGGACGACGCGGAGCTCCCGTTCCCGGACTTTTGCACGAACGCGCTGTGGAGCAAGCTCGTAGAGAAGAACAAGTGGGCGCTGCGCGTCGCCCTGAACTTGCTTCACGAGACGAGCAAAGGCGCGGCGTCGCCGTTTCACGCGTACACGTCGCAGCTCCCCAAGTCGTTCGACCTCCTCTCCGAGTGGTCCGACGACGAGCTCAAGATGCTGCAGTACGCCCCGGTCGTGCGCGCCGCGGAGGGACAGCGCAAGGAGGACGACGACGCGCACGCGATGATCTTAAAGCTGTCCCCGTCCACGCCGGTGACGAAGGAGGAGGTGACGTGGGCGTTGAACATGGTCCGCAGCCGCGTCTTCAGCGGGCGGTTATCCGACAACGCGGAGACGAAGGCGAAGCTGTTGCCGAGAGCGCTCGCCGCGGGGACCGCGTTCGCGACGTTCATGACCGCGCCGACGAAAGAGGGAAGGTGGCTCGCCGTGTTCGCGATGCTCGCGCTCGTGGTGTTCGACCAAGACGGGAACGGGAACGACGACGACGACGAGTCGAAAAAAAAACTCGCCTACGTGCTCCTTCCGCTCATCGACGCGTTTAACCACAAGACGATGCAAAAGACCGAGTTTGAATTCTCGTCGCAGGCGTTCCGGTTGCGGTCGCCGGCGACGTACGGCCTCGACGACGAGGTGCTCATATCGTACGGTCTGCTAGGGAACGACGAGCTCATCGTTCGGTACGGATTCGTCGACGCCGAGAACGAGGCGGACATCTACGCGTACGAGGGTTTACTCTCGTGGCTGCAAGCGAACCACGCGCCGATGAAGCAGAGCTTGGGCGCGGCGCCGGATAGGGTCGCCGCGATGCGCGCCGCGCGCTTGGAGTCGTACGTCTCCATGGGGGTTCTGAAGGGCGACGGCGCCGCGGACGATAACTTGATGTGGGCGCTGCGGACGCTGATGGCTTCGCCGGAGGACTACGCCGCCGCGGGGGGGACCGTGGACGGGATGAAGCTCGGCGGAGGCGCGCCGGAGAAGGCCGCGTGCGTCGCGCTCGCGGCCGCGTGCAAGGCGCGGTTAGGGAGCATGCCGACGAGCGCGGAGGACGACGAGAAGGCGTTGCGCGCCGGCGCGGCGGTCGGCCGAGAGAGAACCGCGATCGAGTACCGACTGCGGAAGAAGAAGATTCTGCAAGCCGCGGTCGCGAGGTACGACGTGTGACCGCCGCGACGCGCGCGGCGTCGGGACCCCGCGCCGTGGGGAGAGACGAGGCGCGTGCGCTGTAGGTGCTAAGACGTGTGATGTGAGGGTGCTAACCTTATCGTGGACGTCGCCGAACTCGACGCGACGCGCGCGGCGCGGCGACGATAAAAATAAAAATCACAACGACACCGCCGAGAGCAACCGAGCGAGCTCGTCGTTCTCGTCGTTCGTGCGTTCGACCCCCCCACCCCCGCCGTCGCTCGCGCGCGTCTTCCTTAAGATCGCGAGCGCTTTGGATATCAAATCGATCTGCTGCGACGCGTACCGCGACCCGCGCGGCAGGAGCCTCATCGCGTCGAGTCTTCGGTTCAGCCTCTCCCACTTCGTCTCGTCCCCGTCCGCGTCGCTGAGCGTGAACGCCGGCATCGAATGCCTTCGCGCGCGTCGTTTCGAGTGCTTCTTAGAGCTACTCCCGCCGCCGCCTCCTCCGCCGCTGGCGCCGTTCGCGCCCAAGGACGACTTCTTCCGCCTCCCGACGGCCGATCGCTTCTCCTTGTTACCTCGCCTCCGTCGAAGCGACTCCCCCACGGCCATCTCCGCGTCCGTGTCCAGCCCCGTCTCGACGTCCGCGTCCTCGTCCTCCGTCTGCATGATTCCCCGCGGCCGCCGCCCGCGATCCCGCGCGAGACGGAGTGCGCTCCCGCGCGCGTCCGTCGTCGTCTCCTGCGGTGCGTCGGACGAATGCCGACTGAACGAAGTCCGGGGGGCCCGCACAAATATTTCGCATCTCGTTTTTGAGAGCAAGAGCCCCGGCTTCGTCCGCAGACATCGCGCGCGCACGCCGCGGACGTCGAAGACGCATCCCTCGCGATGTCGTCCACCGGTCGCACGGTGATCGCGATGATCAAGATCGTCATCCCCGCCGGGGCGGCGAAACCCGCGCCGCCCGTCGGTCCCGCGCTCGGGTCGCACGGCCTGAACATCATGTCGTTCTGCAAGGACTTCAACGCGAAGACCGCGGACATCACGGCGGACGTGCCCATCCCGGTGACGATCACCGCGTTCAGGGATAAGTCTTTCGAGTGGGAGATGAAATCGCCGCCGGTGTCGTACTTCATCAAAAAAGCCGCGGGGATCAAGGAAGGGAGCAAGACGACCGGGCACGAGGTAAAGGGGACGATATCGCTCAAGCACGTGTACGAGATCGCGAAGGTGAAGCACGGGGATCCGGGGTATTCGTGGATGAAGCTGGAGTCGATCGCGAGCAGCATAATAGGGTCGGCGAAGACGATGGGCGTGGAGGTCGTGAGGTGACGAGCGCGACGGCGTCGATCGCGGGACTCGGAGGGAGAGCGCGAGACCCGTGACGAGCGACTGTAGCAAATTCTTTAGGGTTCCCACGCGAGTGGGAGTTTAGGTGTATTACGACGGCACGGCGTTAGACGCGAACAACGACGCCGCGCGCGCGATGGTCGCGGGGAGAGACGTACTAATACGTTCGCCTCTCGCCCTCTCTCTCTCTCAACGCCGCTTAAAGCATCTCATGACCCCCCAAGCGGCGATCCCGACGCAGCTCATGACGACGAGCCCCTCCGCGGTGGTCGGGTCCGGCGTCAACACCCTCCGCCACAGCGCCCGCCGCGGCCGCAGCACCACGACGACCCGGTCCTGGACCTTGAGGCACTCGCGCAGGTGCTCTCTGACGATCGCGGGAGTTATGCCGTCCAGGAGCTCCTCGCGCGTGCGCTCGGACAGCTCGAAGATGGCGTCCAAGTCGCCGTCCACGACGGGCGCGAGCCGGCTGTTGGTCAGCGCCTGGAAGTACTCGCGCCAGTACGAGTTCTCCTTCGCGCTCACCTCCAACGTCCGCCGCTCGACCTCGACCGCGGTCTTCACGTCCTCGAGCGTCGGGCCGTTCTCGATGAGGTCGACGACGTTCTCTAACGCGAGCGCGGCGAGCCGCTGACCCGCGTCCGGGTCGCAACTGAAGCTGATCATGACGTCGCCGCGAATCACGTCGCCGACCATGGCGCTCTGGTCTTGGTACGAAAACGACGCGCCCGCGGAGCAGGTGTAAATCTCCCCGAATTTGAACCGCAAGAGCGCGAGCAGCCGACGCTCGATGATCCCGCTCGCGGTGACGCTGATGTGCTTCATCCGTCGAATCTTCGCGGAGCCCTCCACCGTCGCGACGACCTCCCCGGTGACCGCGTCGTGATCCGGGTTCGGGATGTTAATCGGGAAGATGATGCTCGCCATCGCCATCGGCTCGACCATCGGGACGCGGATCGTCTTGTTCACGACCCCGGACGGGAACTTAAACGTCGCGGGCGTGAGCGGTTTCGAATCGTGCGGTTTCGAATCGCTCGGAACCGGTATCGAGCCCAGGTACTTCTCGAGCATCGGACGCACGCGGTCGGCGTCGAACGCGCCGACGAGCGCGACGGCGAACTCGCTCGGGTCCGAGTACGACGCGTTGAAGTGCTCGCACGCGCGAAGCGGGCGCATCTTTCGAACGTCCGACGGTTTCAGCGGCCTCGTCATGTACGACCGCCCGTACGCGAGGTATCGAATCGTCTCGTGGAACAGCGTGTTCGGATTCCGCGACCGGTTCCGAATCGCCTGCTCTTGCATCCGCAGGACCGCTTCGAGCTCCTCCGGAACGAGCATGTCTCTGACGTTCGACGTGAACAGCGCGTGTATGAGCTGTAACCCGCTCTCGATGTCCGTAGGGGAGGTGTCGCCGTCGACGCGGCGGTAGTACGTCCCGGTTTTACTCGAGACGTCGCAGCGTTTCCCCGCGAGCACGTCGGACAAAATCTCCGGCTTCAACCCGAAAATCCCGAGCTCGGTCGCGATCGTGTTCGCGTACAACGCGTCGAGGTACTCGCTCTCCGGGACCTCGCTCAGGCCTCCTTTCGCGAAGCATCTCACGAGGACCTGATCGTCCAGAAAGTCCGTGGTCTTCATCCCGACCTTCATCCCGTTGCTCAGCGTCAAGACCTCGAACCCGACGCTCGGAAACGATCGCTCCTCCGTCACGCGTCCCGGCGGAGGGAGGGCCTCGTCCTTCAACACGACGCTCGGGACTTGGAACATCGCGTTCTCCGTGATCTCTCCCGCGTCTTCCTCTCGTTGTATCTCCCTCACGACCGCCTCGATCTCCTCCACGGTCGTCGACCGTCGTCCCTCCATGACGCGTATCGTGCAGCTCGCGTCGACGCTAAACTTTTTCCCAAACGCGTCGGCGTGCGTCGTGCGCATCTTCTCCGTGCAAGCCTTGCTCAGCCGCGCTTCTTCCTCCGCGCCGACGACGAGCTCGCCTCTCAGGAAGTGCCCGACGAGCTCGTCGCGCAGGGACGTGCAGTACGTCTGGTCGCGCTCGACGTACAGCTGCTCCGCCTCCGCGAGCTGCTTCGCCGCGGCGATCTTGAGCTCCTGCTCGGAGATTCCGTGAAGACGCGCGCGCGTCATCTCTCGCAAACCCGCAGCCAGCCCCCGCGTGACCTTCCCTTCGTCGCACACGATCTGAACGCTAAACATCGTCGTCGTTCGTGTCGCGTCCTCCACAGAGCACGCCGCGCTGAAGAACGGCGGGTCCGCCTTCCGCATGATCTTATACAGGCGGTTATCGATCGCGAGCTTGAACGCCTCCTCGACGGTTTTCTCGAACAGCCCGCCCGGGGTTGAGATCCCGCCGCTGGCGTACTTGTACGTCACCGTGACCATGGTCTTCGTGTGCTCCTTGTCCACGTCGCACGTCACGCGCGGCGCGGCGTGCGGCGCGATCGTCGGGCGGTGCACGACCGGGTTCTCGACCGGTTGCCCCGGCGCGGGCGAACACGTTTCAAACGTCTTCGCGATCGATTCGGCGACGCCGTCGAGATCCGGGAAATCCCCGACGACGACGACCGCCATCCGTTCCGGTCGGTACCACTTCCTGTAGAACCTCCGGAACACCTCCGGGTCGCCGTCTTTGATCACGGACTGCAGCCCGATCGGCAGCCTCTCCGCGTATTTCGACCCGGACATGAGGAGCTTCCAGTACGCCTCCGCCGATCTGCCTCGCGCGTCTCGGCCCATCCGCATCTCTTCCAGCACCGCGCCGCGCTCGTCCCTCACGTCGTCGTCGCTTATCCGCACTTTGTTCACCCACTCGGACATTATGCTCAGCGCCTCGTCGAGTATGCCCGGCTTATCTATCGGCACCGTGAGCTCGTACACGGTCTCGTCCATGGACGTGTACGCGTTTTGACACGCCCCGAACTCGGCGCCGATGGATTCTAAAAACTTGACGATGTGAAAGTTCTCGTTGCTCTCCGTCGCCCTGAACGCGAGGTGCTCGACGAGGTGCGCGACGCCTTGCTCGTCCTCCTCCTCCGCGATGCTGCCGACGTCGACCGCGAGCGCGAGCGACGCGCGATCTTTCGGTTTAAACGTCCGCATGACGTAGAACTTCATCCCGTTCGCGAGCGTACCGGCTCGGCACCGATCGCGTGGGCCGAGCGCGAGGACGTCGTCCCATCGATCGTCCAGCGGGTACGGCGCGAGGTGCTTCCATCCGCTCGATTTCACGGCACCGCCTGCGTTGGGATTGGGACGCGCGGGAACGCGGGGGGTTGGGGGCGCGACGATCGCGTCAGGAGGGAACGAGCCGGCGCGTCGATCGAGCGACGGAGCGAATCGAATCGTCGGGGGGCGTCGGACGATCGCGATCGATCGATCAATCGTTCGAACGAGATCCACCGGGCGCGCGCGCGTCGACGCGCACCTATCGACGGCGTCATCGGCGACGACGGCAACGACGTCGACGTCCGCGGGGAAGTCGGCGGCGTATCTTCGCCGTCGACTTCGATCGCCACCGGCGCGGGGGGGTCCACCTCCGCCATCGCGCGAGGCACGAAGTGACGCGGCGCCGGGGAGGCGGGCGGGTCCTGTCGAGAAAATCCCTCTCAGAAGAGAAGAGACTTCAGGTGACGCGACGCGCTCGAAGCGAGTCATCGCGCGCGCGGCCCTCCACACCTTCGCGCGCGCCGCGGGCATCGAGCGACACACCGCGGAGGCGACCGCGGCGGTCGCCGGCGATGAGCGCGCGGACGTTCCTCGGCGCGTCGGCGACGGCGTCGAACGCCTCGCGACGACGGCAACGACATCAACAGCAGCTCGCGGCGCCGCTTCGCGCGCGCGTCCGACGCGTCGTCGCGTCCGCGTCGTCCGCGGGCGACGCCGGCGACGCCGGCGACCGCGCGCCCGAACCGACGCGACGCCGCGTCCGTCGCGTCGGGTCGCGAGGACTCCCGGGCCCGGGCGCGGACGCGCCGCGGCCCGCGGTCGCCGCGGAGGGCGACGACGCGCCGTCGCCGTCGCCGTCGCGTTCGACGCCCGACGAGACGACGCCGCGACGCCGAGAGCCGTCGTCGCGCGGCGGCCGCGGCGGAGGCGGCCGCGGCGGAGGCCGAGGCCGCGGCCGCGGCGACGCCGCGGCCGATCAGCGCCAGCGCGTCCCGCCGCGGAACCGACGACGCGACAACGGCAAGAGCGGGCGCAGGCGCGCGTCCGACGCCGCGAGAGCCGTCAACGACGCGCTGTCGCGCGCGCGAACGATCGACGACCTGCGAGTCGTCGTCGAGGCGAACGATCTCGCGGCGTCGTTCAACGTCGTCAACGTCGCGACCGCGTACAGCCGCCTCGGGAGGCACGTCGAGGACGCCGAGCGAGGCACGCTGGACGACGCGCGGTGGTACCTCGCGCTCGAGACGCGAGCGTTCGCGCTGCTTCCGGAGCTCGGAGGATGGGCGGCGTCGTCGCTGACGTGGGCGCTGGGACGCACGGGGAGAGACCCGGGGGCGAAGTTTTGGGAGGCGCTGGAGCGCGTGCTGTTGAGAAAGGCGAGCGAGCTCGAGCCGCAGGGCGTGGCGAACATCCTGTGGGCGTTCGCGGTGTTGGAGAGGAAGCACCCGGTGGCGCTGAGCGGCGCGCTGGAGACGGCGGCTACGAAATTTTGTAAATTCGCCGGCTCGGGCGCCGCCGCGAACGCGAACGCGACCGCCGCGCGTCTCGGCGGCGGACGCGGCGGCAGAGGACGCGAGCGCGAGACCGTTCCCACCGGGTTTAAGCCGTACGAGCTCACGATGATGTTCTGGGCGCTCACGCGGTTCGGCGAGGAGCCGTCCGTGGAGCTCAGAGGTTTGTTCGAGGCGCAGTGCGGCAGGGTGTTGAACGAGCTCAAGCCGCGGGAGCTCGCGAACGTCGCGAGCGCGTACGGACGCATAGGCAGAGCCGCGCCGCTCCTCGCCGCGGTCGCGGACGAGGCGTGCGCGGGCGTGGGGTTGGACAGGTTTAAACCTCAGGAGTTTTCGATGCTCTTGTGGGGCCTCGCGAAGGCGGCGAGCGCATCCCGGGACGCGGCGGCGCCGTCGTCGTCGTCGCGCGCGCGGTTCGACGTGTCCGACAGCTTCGACGGCGGCTTCGGCGGCCTCGTCGCCGGGCTCGCGTCTACTTCTAGAGACGAACACGGCGGCGGGTTGATCTCCTCGCAAGCGCTCGAGATGATCGCAGACGAGCTCCAGGCGCGCGCGAGCGCGGACGGCGGCGGCGGCGGCGGCGGCGGCGGCGGCGGCGCGGACGGAGGAGGGTTAGAACCGAAGGAGTTGTGCCTCGCCGCGTGGGCGGTCGCGACGTTGCAGCCGCGCGCGGAGCGGAAAGAGATGAGCTTCGACGCGCGAGAGGCGAACGCGGCGACGAAGGCGAGGAAGAAGAGCGCGTCTTCGACGACGACGATGCCCGCGATGGTCGCGGTCGAGGCCGCCGCCGCGAGGGCGATGCGCGACTTCAACCCGCAAGATTTCGCCAACTTGATCTGGGCGTTCGCGAAGCTGGATCACACCCCCGGCGCCACCTTCCAGGAAGCGTTCGAAGACGCGCTCATACGGAAGATATCGAAATTCTCCCCGCAAGCGCTCGCGAACGTCGCGTACGGGTACGCGTCGCTGGGGTTACCCGGCTCGAGAAACGTCCTTCCGTTCGTCGCGCTTCACCTCACGAAGGACGTCTTGACCGACGTCGAAACGCGCGAGCTCGTGATGGTGATGTGGTCGTTCGCGCAGTCCGGGTACGACCCCGGGGCGGAGTTCATCGCGCGCGCGGAGGATGCCGCGCTTCGAGTCGTGGACGCGATGGAGCCGGACGAAGTCACGCAGTACTTGTGGTCGCTGGCGTCGCTGCGGTATCGACCGAGGGCGGCGTTTTTACGCGCGGTGGAATCGAGGATCGACGCGTGCCCGGCCAAGTTCGACGCGCAGGCGGTGACGCTGACGCTGTGGGTGTACGCCACGCTCGGGATCGTCCCGTCCGCGCGCGTCACGGAGCGGTTCGCGGACGAGATCGACGCGATGACGTTCGAAGACTTCAACCCGCAGGATCTCAGTTTGGGATTTTGGGCCGCCGCGGTGTTGCGCGCGCAGCCACGCGGCGACCGCGGCGACGACGCGTGGGTCGAGACCGCCCTGCGTGGGCTCGCTTCGAAGCTTCCCGCGCTGGAGGCGAGCGCGGTCTCCCCCGGGGGTTTGTCCGCGATGTTCCAAGGGATCTTGACGCTTCGCATGGTCGACGCCGAGACCGGGGGAACGCTCTCCGACGAGCTGGGCGCGCGCTGGGCGCACCTCGAAGACGACGCGGAGGCAGCCTACCGCGGGTACAAGACCGACGACCCGACGGTATCGCTGCTGCAGCAAGACGTCGCGATGGCGCTGACAGAGATGGGGTTAACGTTCGAGATCGAGGCGTTCATCGACGGCGGGTTGATTCGTCCGGACATCACGCTCACCGGCGGCGGCGACGCGACGGATCGCTACCCGGGCCTAGACCGCGTCGTCATCGAGGTCGACGGGCCGTGCCACTACAGCGTCGAGCCGTCCGACGCGACGGACGACACGCTGGACGATTGGTTCAGCGGCGGCGGCGGCGGCGGCGGCGACGACGACGACGACGACTCGGAGAAGGATCCGATCGACGCGGACGGGAAAGAGGGCGCCGCCGGGCGTTGGCCGCTCGGAAGCACGGTCCTTCGCAACCAGCTCTTGCGGAGCAGCGGGTTAGAGGTCGTGACCGTGACGTACCACGAGTGGGATCGGATGACGACGCCGGAGGATCAGCGGGCGTACCTGCGCGGGCTGTTAGAGCGAGCGACTGAGCAGCCAAGGTGAATAGACTAGTCGTCGGTTTTCGGGGTACAGAGCGTCGTAGCGGTGAGAGTCACCCTCGTAGTACAAAGTTGTAGGTACCTCTTCACGTCGTCGTCGTCGTCAACACGTCCACGACGACGCCGTTCATGTTCCGAAACTTCGTGACGTTCTCCTTGTCCATCTCCCTCGAGCGCTTGCTGAACGATGGCGACCCCCACTTCTTTCGCGGCGTCGGCTGTCGCTTCGCCCTCGGCGGCGTCGCGGCGCGCGCGTCCTCGCCGCCCCCGCCCTCCGCCTTCTCCTCTTCCCCCCCCGTCGCGCCGTCATCTTCGTTCCCCTCCCCCGTGACATCAGGAGGAACGCCGTCGGACTCCTCCTCCTGCGCCTGTTCCTCCGCGGCGATGCCCTCCCGAAGCGCGGTGAGGTCCGCGCGAAGGAACGCGTTCTCCTCCCTCAACGCGGTGACCTCCGCGAGCGCGTTGGCGAGCGCGCGCTCCATCTCGGAGTCTTCTTGCTCGCGGTCTACCCGGGACGCTTCTGCGCGCCACCGCCCCGCCTCCGACGCCGCGGCCATGACCGCGTCCCTGAGCACGGACGCCTCTCGCATCGCTCGGTCGAGCAGACCGGAGAGCGTGGGGGCGTCGCCGGGTGCGTTTTCATCCTTCTCATCAGAGGTGATCCTCGCGCGGAGTCTGCGCATCGTCTCCTCGGACTGCTCCAGCGCCGCGATCCCCTCGTGCTGCATCCCGAGCATCATCTCCTCCGCGAGCGCGGCGCGGCGCGCGGACTCCCTCACCTCGTTTTGAAGCTTCGTCGTCTTCTGCGCGAGCGCGACGGCTTCGAGCGAGGACTGCGTCTCGATCTCCCTCGTGCGCTCGAGCTCCCTCGCGAGCTGCTCCGCCGCCGCCGCGTGCGCCGCCGCGTGCGCTTTGAGCGCGACGCACGTCGCCTTCGCGTTCTCCGCGCGCTTCTCGTGGTGTTGAAGCGCGCGTATGCGCTCGTCGCGCTCTCCGGCCTCGTCCTCGAGCTCCTTCACGCGCGCGCGAAGAAAAACATTCTCCTTCGCCTGCTCGCGCGCGTTCCTCGCGATGAGGAGCATCTCTCGTCCGTTCCCGTTCCCGCTGGCGCCGCCGCCGCGCCATCCCCCCGCCGCGGGGCTCTTGATGAGCGCGTTCGCCATCCGAAGGCGGCTCAGGTGCGAGTTCAGCGTCGGCGACAGCACGCCGTCGTCGTCGTCGCCTTCTTCCGAGTCCCCGACGTCGTCGCGAGATCTGGCGTCCGCGAGCGCGCGCGCGCCCATCGCGCGCGGAACGGAATCGAGCCTCAACGACAGCCGCGGGGGGCCGCGCGGAGTGAACGCGTCGTCGTCAGAGCTGCTGTCGCCGTCGTCCGCGGCCGCGGGGGACGACATCGCGCCCGTCTCTGGCGGCACCACCGAGACGACGATGCGATGTTAACGGTCGGGCGATGGCGCGTGGCGCGGCGTGCTGGAAATCTTGGGGAAAGGCACACGCGAGAGCCTCTTCGTGGCGTTCACACGGGCGCGCTGCTAAGCTACCTTCGCTTCTTCGGCTTATTCTTGCCTCCCCCGCCGCCGTGCTCTTTGGTCGCGATCGAGAAGTCGTCCACGTCCACGCGCTTGATCGGATCGCCCCACTTGTCCATCTCCGGCTTCTCCTCTTCCCTTCCCGGGTTACCCTTACGCGGCGGCGGCGGCGACCGACGCTTCGGCGGCGACCGCACCTTCGGCGGCGACCGCGCGCGCGGCGGCGTCGCCGTCCGCTCCTTCGGGGGCGACCGGACCCGCGGCGACGTCGCCGTCCGTTCCTTCGCGGGCGACCGCGCGCGCGGCGGCGTCGCCGTCCGTTCCTTCGGGGGCGACCGGACCCGCGGCGGCGTCTGCGTCCTCGCGCGCGCGAGCGGCGGCGACTCCGTGCGACGCTTGATGGGGTCGCCCCACTTGTCGACGTCGACGCGCGCGGGCTGTTCGTCCCGTCCTCCCCCCCCGCCGCCGACGTCTATTCGTCGTTTCCCCGCGCCGCCGCCGTCCGGGTCTCGACTCGGCGCTCTCTTCCTCTCGGGCGAGCGCGCGCGCGGCGGCGTCCGCTGCCGCGGCGGCGTCCGCTGCCTCGGCGGCGTCCGCTGCCTCGGCGGCGTCCGCTGCCTCGGCGGCGTCCGTCGCCTCGGCGGCGACATCGCGCGCGTGGGAGCGGGAACGCGCGGCGAGCGCTGCCTCGGCGGCGTCCGCGCTCTCTCCGCGCCCCCGTTCCCGGCGACGGGCGGCGGCAGGCGATACCCGGGAGGGAGCGGCGGCGGCGGGTTGCTCGCCGGCGGCAGCGCGTCGCTCGCGGCGGCGGCCGGCCCCTCCGCGGCCGAGACCGCCGGCGGCGGGTCTGGTCTCGGCGGCCTCGCCGGCCACTTGTTCACGCGCGCCTTCGCGGGCGCCGCTCTCGTCGGCGCCGCCGCCGGCTCGACCTCGACCCCGACGTCGACGTCGACGTCGACCGAGGGCCCGGCCCCGGGCCCGTCGCCTCCCGCGGTCCCTCCGCCAATTACGCCGCCCGCGCGTCGTCCGTCCCCTTCGGCAGGCGCCTCGTCGTCGCTCGAGACGACGTAATCGTCGTCGCCGCCCATCCCCGCCAAGTCGTCGCTCGAGGGGTCCCTGCTGGGGTCGTCCGAGACCCCCCCCGCGCCCGGGACGTGCGCGTTCACCGCGCGAGCGACGGCTTGCACGATCGAGTGCTGGAAGACTCGCCGCTTCTCCCATCGATCGATCACCTTCCTCAGGCCGTGCATGTGCTTCGGCGGGCAGCTCAGCGCGGACTCGACGCACGCCACGATGTCCGGCGCGAACCTCCCCGCGTACAGCTTCGCGCTCTCGTGATCGTCCTTGTCCGACGCGAGCTTGTTCATCACGAAGACGATCGGCACCCTGTCTCGCGGCTTTCGCATCTGGCACTGCTTCACGAGGATCGCGGCCGCGTGCTTGTAGTAGCTCTTCGCGTCCTTCTTCGCGAGCGCGACGAGCTCCGCGATCGACGCCTCGGACGCGCTGCGCATCGTTCGGAGGACCTCCAGGAACCGCGGCTGGTCCGGCCATTCCTTCGGCATCGCGACGTGTCGACGAGAGCGCCCGCGTCGCGTTCAACACCTCCTTTCGCGCGCGAGGCGAGACGCGCCCCCCGCGCGTCGACGGCTCCGCGCGCCGGTCGAGGACGTCGCCGCGGCGTTCCGCGACGGCGCGGACGGATCGCGACGAGATCGAGCAGCGCGCCGCGCGAGGAGCGTTCGCGGTCGTATCGCGTTCGCCGCGGACGCGCCCCTTCCAATGATGGACGATGACCGCCAAACGACCTGTAAACGCGAGCGCTCGCGATCGTTCCCGTCACTCTCCGCGACGCCCCGGGATGGGGCGCGCCGCGAGGCGCGCCGCGCCCGCGAAGCGCCGCAAGCTCGACCACGGCGCGACCACCCCGTCTGCGGTCCGCGTGGAGTACGACGGCCACGATCCCGCGTCCGCGTCCGCGTCCGGGAGAGCGCCGCATCCCGTCGACCGCGTCCCCGCGAGCTCCGTCACCGCGGAGACGTTTTTCGCGAATCACGTCGCGCGACGACGCCCCGTCGTCCTCACCGGCGACCTTCGCGGGACGCCGTGGGCGCGCGCGCGCGAGACGTGGACGGATCGGCGACTCGCGGACGCCGCCGGGGACGCGACCGTCCGCGTCGAGGTGAGAGCCGCGGCCGGGGATCGGTACGGCGTCGGGTCGTACGAGACGACGACGTTCCGCGAGTTCATGCGGAGGTTCGTCGACGGAGACGACACGCGGTACCTGACCGCGTCGCCCGCGGCGACGGACGCGCACGGCCGCGGCGTCGTCGCGTCCGCGCCGGCGTCGCGGCTCCTGAGAGACGCCGAGGACGAGGACGGCGGCGGCGACGGCGGCGACGGCGACGGCGACGGCGGCGGCGTCTCCAAGCCCCCGGTGCGGCCGTCGAAGCTGACGGGACGCCTCGTCCCCGCCAACGTCAACGTGTGGATGGGCCGCGCGAGAGACGGCGCGTCCTCGGGGCTGCACCACGACCACCACGATAACCTGTACGTTCTGATGCGCGGGAAGAAAAAGTTCGAGCTGTACGCGCCGTCGTGCGTGGAGGACATGTACGTCGCTGGGACGCCGACGCGCGTGCACGCGAACGGGCGCGTGAACTACGCGGAAGCCGGAGAGACCGCCGAGGACGGGGACGACGGAAGCCTCGTCGCGCGCGTCGCCGCGATTGCGACGCGCGACGCGGAGGAGGAGCTTCAGCTCGCGGAGGAAGCGGTCGAGCGCGGGGACGACGGCGCGAGCGAGCGGTTGAGGATCGCGGAGGAGAGGATGGAGACCGCGATGGACGAGGCCATCGGCGGCGGCGGCGGCGGCGGCGGCGGCGGCGACGACGACGACGACGCGTTCGATTTCGATTTCGCCGCGGGCGGGAAGTTCCGGGACGACTTCGACGACCTCGACGAGGACGACGACGACGCGGACGCGGACTCGGACGACGACGACGACGACGCGGGGCCCGGGAAGAAGGGGAAGGAGAAGGAAGAGGAGGACGGAGACCCGCCGAGTTTCAGCCGCGTGGACCGCGCCGACCTGAGCGCGTTTCCGCGGTTCAAACGCGCGTACGAGACGAAGCGCGCGGAGACGACGGTGCGCGCCGGGGAGATTTTATACCTCCCCGCGGGGTGGTTCCACGAGGTGACGTCGTTCGACGACGAGGCGGAAGCCGGGGGCGGTCACCTGGCGTTAAACTACTGGTTTCACCCGCCGGCGAAATCAGAGGCGGCGGGCGACAGCGGCGAGCGCGAGTACAGGTTCGAGACGCCGTACGGCTCCGAGGCGAGGCAGCGCGCGTGGGAGAGCGATTGGCGCGCGTGGCGATCGCTGAAGAGTTTAGGGAGATAGTTTTTGAGTGGAGATTTCCTCCGTTTGCGTGGATCAAAACCGCTAAGATGTCGACCCGCGCCACCAACCCTGCGTCGTCAGACACACATCGCGAGAGGTACTATCCGAGCACCCGACGCGCTCGTACGTCGTGAATTTACTTCATCTTCGCAACCTTGGCGTCTTCCTCCGCCTTCTTCGCCGCCTCGATCGCCTTCTTGATGCGAGGTCCGACCTGGCGCACGTTCATGCGCTCCGTCCTCAACGTCTGGTACGCCTTGAAGTCCTTCATCTCGCCCGTCACCGCCACCATCTCGAGGGGCTTGGTCTCCTTCGTGATCGGCATGAGCTTGCCCTTGAGCTGCTTCGCCATGCTGAGCTCGCCCGCCTCGGAGTCGCCGTGCTTCGGCTTCGCCGTGCGGCGCGGGAAGAGAATGAGAGACGCCTTGTACGCCTTGAGACGCTTGGAGTTGAGCGCGAGGGACTCCTCGCTCCGGTTCCTGCGGCGGTGATCGACCGCGATGCCGATCGTCGGCGCGAGCTTCTTCGGGATGCCCGCCACCTTGAGCTCCTCGAGCGTGAACCCCCGGCCGAGACGCGTCTTGAAGTTGTACCTCTGCGTCGGCGGGCGGACGATCGGGCGAAGCGCGCCCGCCGTCGGGCGAGGGAAGATGGCCTTCGCCTTCTTCTCGCGCGCGATGCGTCGGCTCTTCTTGCGGCCAGCCTGGTTGAACCACGTCTTCACGCGGCACGCGCCGGCGTTGCCCTGATGGGATAGAGGAGGAGAGCGGGGGCGGACGCGTCAGTCGGTTTCGGTCGCTCGAGAGGGGCGGGTGGTGAGAAACAGCGCGCTAGCTCATTTCGGGCGAATCACCGACGCCGCGCCGGACGTGGAGGACGCCGCGCGGATAAGCGCGACGCCGCGCGCCGTAACGCGATGACGCGACGCGCACGACCGTGCGTCGTCGAAGACGTCCGACCCGCGCGGACGCGCGACCGACGGTCGCTCGCGACGCGCCCGGCGCGGCGAAGACGACGCCTCCGCGCGCGGGGACGCGCGCTTCGACGGAAAACCCTAAGCTCGCGCGACGACGCGCGGGACGCCGTTCGGACGCGCCCGAGGACGCGAGGGCGGCCGCGCGCGATCGGCGACGGTCGTGGGGCTCGTAGAAGCCGCGACGCGTCGTCCGAGCGCGCTCGCGACCGCGCCGGCGTCCGCGGCGCGGCGATCCCGGGTCGTCCGCGCGACCACCGAAGAAGATGCGGCGAAATCTCATCTTTCACGCGTAGGGTTTCTTCGGCGCGGAGTATGGCGCCGTGGAGGCGACACGCACCTGCCAGTCCTTCTTGAAGTGCGCATTGGCGATCTGGTTGTTGTGAGCCGGCATGGTGCTGGCTGAAGTCGCGACGACCTGGTCCCGCGCTCCCTAAAAAGGGCGAGTACGTGCGCGATGGTGCGCCTTTCCTCGGTCAGAGGAAAAACCAGGAGGTTTCGCGGTGCTCGGGCGTCGCTTGTACTTTTGTATGGGGCAATTAGTCTAAACTTTTTGCACGTGACCAAAACCGCATACGAAAAGTACGGCGTACTTCCGTACTTCCGTACGCGTACGCGCGACGAGTTTTCTTCGCGCGGACCGAGCCCGGCACTCCCCGCGCTCCCCGCACGCGAGATGTCGAAGGAGCCGTCGACCGGGAAGATCATCCACCGCAAGCAGATCGACTACACGCTCCTGTGGCCCATCGCGCTCGCGCCCGTGATCCCGGTCCTCGGCATCGCTCTGCGGTGCGTCTCGTCGCGAACGCGAACTCGAACTCGGCCGACGACAGCTGTGCGTTCGATCTGACGCGACTCCGAACCCTCGCAGGCCGTACCCGAAGTATCGCTGGCCCGTCATCGGGTCTACATTCGCGGCGATCCTCTTCGGCGCGCACCAGTCCGTGATAAGCGTCGGCGTGAACACGAAGTAGACGACCGCACCGCGCGCGGGCGTTCTCTTCATCACTACTAGCTAGGGACTACGAGCGAGCGTTCGCGTCGAAGCGATGGCCAGCGACGAGGCATCTCGCGACGAGGCATCTCGCGACGACGCGTCTCGCGACGAGGCGTCTCACGACGAGGCGTCTCTCCTCCGCCTCCTTCGCGCCGTCTTAGAGTGCGACACCGCGAACTTCCGCCCCGGACAGCTCGAGGCGATGACCGCGGTGATGCGCGGTCGGGACTGCCTCTCCTTGCTCCCCACCGGGGCGGGCAAGTCGCTCGTGTACGTCCTTCCCGCGATGCTCCGCGCGGAGCGAAACGCGCCGGGGGTGACCGTCGTCGTCACCCCGCTGCTGTCCCTCCTCGCGGACCAGCTCCGGAGGTGCGACGAGATGGGCGTGGACGCGGAGGCGTGGAGCGGCGCGACGGACCCGACGCGACTGGAGAGGATCGAGAGGGACTTGCGCGCCGCCGCCGCCGACGACGAAGGCCCGACGCTGACGCTCCTGTTCACGACCCCGGAGTCGCTGCAAACGCCCCGGCTGCGCGCGGCGCTTCGCGTCGCGAGCGATAACGGCCACGTCGCCGCGCTCGCGGTGGACGAGGCGCACTGCGTCTCGCAGTGGGGCCACGATTTCCGACCGGCGTACCTCGCGCTGAAGGACGACAGGGACGAACTCTTGGGCGGCGCGCCGATCCAGGCGCTCACGGCGACCGCGACGCGCGCCACGGAGGCGTCGATCGCGGCCGCGCTCGGTCTGCGACGCGATCACGTCGTCGCTCGGAGCAGCTTGAACCGCGCGAACCTCGGACACGAGGTGGTGAGGAGAGAGCGCCTCGGCGACGGCGGCGGCGACGGCGAAGAGCGCGCGGCGGTGGATCACGTCGTCGCGGTCTCGCGCGCGGCGAAAGCGACCGCGCCGGAGAGCGCCGGGATCGTGTACGCGCGCGAGCGCGGCGAGTGCGAGCGCGTCGCGGAGCTTCTCGCGACCGCGGGGATGGACGTGGAGGTGTTCCACGCGGGACGGAGCAAAGAGTCGCTCAGACGCGCACTCGCGAACTGGGCGGGCGGCGACGTCGACGCCGTCGTCGCGACCGTCGCGTTCGGGATGGGGATAGACAAGCCGGACGTGCGATGGGTCGCGCACTGGGGGCCTCCCACGTCCCTGGAAGGGCTGTATCAAGAGAGCGGGAGGGCGGGGAGGGACGGGAAGCCGTCGCGGTGCGTGCTGTACGCGGACGCGGGAGAGTTGGACAAAATTCGCAAGCTCGACCCGGGACGAGCGGAAAAGGTCGACGCGTACGTCCGCGGGACATCCTGTCGACGCGCCGCGCTCCTGTCGCACTTCGACGAGGGCGCTGGCGGCGGCGCGCGCGCGTGCGACGAGAACGACGTCCCGTGCGACGCGTGCGCCGACGTCGGCGCGGTGAAGCGAATGAACGCGGCGGCGGACCGAAAGTCCGACCGCGACGCGGAGAGGAAGCTCGACGAGATGCGCGCGGCCGCGGAAGCGGCCGCGGAGGAGGCGATGCGGGGTGGCGGTCGCGAATCGGCGACGAGGGAACCGGTCGCGAAACTCGCCGCCGCGAAGCCCGCGGCGGCGCCTCCGACGGGGCCGAGGAGGATACCGGCGTTTCGTCCTCCTACGCGACGGGCGGCGGCGGCGGGCGCGTCGGCGGGTGTCGCGGCGAAGCGCAAGTTCGTGTGCCCGATGAAGAAGAGCGCGGACGACCCCGCGAAGCGACGGTGAGCCACGGAGGGGAATAGCACGAGACGACGCGACGAGAATAGCACGAGACGATGTAACGAGAACGCGCGCGCGGCGACGGGCGACCGAAACGATAAATTCGCGGGCACCCTCTGGGACGACGAGAGGAGTCAACGACAGGACCTTTCGTGCAGCGAATTTCCATCCACGGCAGTCCGACAGCGCGCCGCCAGGTCGACCCGGGAGCCCTCCGTGATGTCGGCGACCGGGGACGCCGCCGAGGAGGTGGGCGCGGTGGTGAAAGGCGAGGAAAACGCCGAGCACGACGGCGCGGACGCGGGGGAAGGAGCGCCCGACGGAGCGGCTGACGGGGATGGGGGAAAATCGACGTCCACGACGTCCGATCCCGGAGACGACGCCCCCGCGGCGTCTCCGGAGGGCGAGACCGCGGCCGCGGAGGCGGCCGCGGGAGAGACGGAGACGGCGAGCGAACCCGTGGTGGACGAGACGTCGCCCGCGGTGGACGAGACGTCGCCCGCGGTGGCGTCCACGTCCGCCGCGGGAGGCGCTCCCGACGCGTCGACCGAGGGGGGAACGGGAATCGACGACGACGACGACGACGACGACGAGGCCGCGCGCGAGCGTGAGACGGAGGTGGACGGCGCCCTCGATGAGCTCGTGGAGGAGCTGTACGCGAGCGATGACGTCGACGTCGACGGCGACATGTGGGAGGTGACCGCGAACGCGGCGGCGGAGGAGCCAGAGCCAGAGCCAGAGCCAGAGCCAGAGCGTGAGCGCGAGCGCGAGCCCGAGCGCGAGGCGTCGCCAGCGGCGGCGAGACGTGGGAAGTCGAAAAAGTCGCCGTATAACCCCCCGCCGGAGATAGCGAAGCTCCTTCGAGAGCAAGCCAAGGCGGAGAAGGAAGCCCCGCCGCCGCCGCCGCCGCCGCCGCCGCCGACGACGACGACGACGACGATCCCGCGCGTGGAAGTCCCGGACTGGTCCGCCACGAACGACGAAGAGCTCATGTCCACGATAGACTCCTTCCTCAAGGGGACGAAGAAAACGCGAGGACGGCTGAAGCAACGCGTCGAGCTGAAGCGAGCGATGGACGAAGTGTTGAGCCGGCTCGACGCGGAGGAGTCGCGGTCGTCCCCGGGGAAGGACAGCGCGCGCGACGGCAGCGTGCGATCGGAATCGTCGCGCGCGTCGTCGTCGTTCACGGGACGCGATAAGGAGTACATCGAGCCGAGGCTGCCGTTCCTCCCCGCGGGCGGGTACAAAGCGCTAAATCGATCGATCCCGGCGTATCCAGGGTCGTCGTTTACTAGCCCGAACCCCACGTTGGACGAGGACGCCGAAGCGCTCATTAACGACCCGACGCTGGCGCGCTTTATCAGAGAGGAGGCGTCGTTCACGAGACCCGGGAAGTCGAAGTCGAAAAAGTCGCCGTATAACCCCCCGCCGGAGGTTGCGAAGGTCCTTCGAGAGCAAGCCGCGGCGGAGGAGGAAGCCGCGGAGCGCGAAAAGCCGTTCGAGCACTACCCGTCCTCCCCCGCGCAGACGCGCCCGAACAGCCGCGAGAGCTTCGCGGCGGCGCGCGGGAACACCGGGAGGGGGAGCGGCGTCTTATCCGCCGCCGCGTTGCGCGTGCACAGGGAAGAGGAGACCGCGAGGCTGCACGGCGGCGTGGACGCGTTTCGGTCGGGAACGCGCGATGAGTATATCCAGACGCGACGCCCGCCGCGCGCCGCGATGTCGGCGACGTCGACGTCCTCGTTTGAGCCCGCGAGGGAGCACATGTCGGATAAATTCGCGCAGAAGTCCGCGGGGAGCGTGAACATCGCCGCCGCCGCGGACGAGGGGAACGCGATGTCGCAGTACGCCGCGTTTCTCGCCGCGGCGATGGCGCCGGCGTCGGGGGACGACGCGCGCGACGAGGCGGCGGCGGCGGCGGCGGTGCCGCCCGAGGCGGCGTACGTCCGCGGCGCGCGCGGCGGCGCGAGCGGGCTCCCGCCTCGGCGGCCGCCCAGCGTGAACGAGCGCGAGTACGCGTACTCCCGCGCGCGCGAACCCGAACCCGCGCGCGAGCCCGCGCCCGAGTACGAGGACGACAGCGACATCGAGTCGGACGAGAAGCTCCAGGCGACGCTCGCGGCGATTCGCGCGCGAATGGGCGCGAGCGCGAGCACGACGCGGTCGGCGTCGCCGTCGTACGCTTCCGGCTTCGTCACCCCCGCGGAGACGCCGTCGCGGCCGACGATGAACGGTTTCAAGGTTGGCGGCGCGCTGACGCCGATGGACAGCGAGTGGGGGACGGAGGTGGCGAGCGATTTCGGGGCGCCATCGGAGCGCGCGAGGGGCGGGACGCCGACGCCGGGGCTGCCCGCGATGGACTCCGAGTCCAGGCGTCTGAAGCCGGTGAACTTCCGCCCGAGCAGTAGGAAAGCGGCGGCGATGGGGAAGGATTCTATAGAGGGAAGGCTCGGACAGCCGCCGTCGTGGACGCCGTTAGCCGCGCGGACTTTGTCGAGTCGGGAGGGACGATGACGAGTCTGTGTGATAAACAAGTTTAGCAGCGAAAGCGAGAAAGCGAGAGCGAAAAAAAACAACTCTTTTTCCTGGGCCTTCTCTCGAGACAGGTTACGACAACTGGTATCGAAACTACTACACGTACGCGGGCGACTACTTTCTGACTGTTTTTCATACGAAAACCCAAAAAGCAGTGACGTCACCCGAGAGCGTTTGCGAGGCGATTGCTCTGAGCCACGGAAACGCGCGCAACGACCGTCGTCGCGTCGTCGCCCTCGCCGCACAACGAACGCGCACGCGTCGTCAGCATCACTCGCGCTCGGTCTCAAGCGGTCGGACGTTCCCGATGTCCACCGCGACCGCGCCGATGGCGTCCTCGACCTCGGTCGCGGCGTCGAGCGCGCGTCCGCGACGCGTCGGACGCGCGTGCCGTCCTCCACGGTCGTCGTCGTCCACCTCCGATCTCGCGTCGTCGTCCGCTCGCGCGTCCGGGACGGCCGCGCTGATGAAGACGTCGCGCGCGTTCGCGCCCGCGCGCGCCCGCGGCGCGTCCGGCGTCGTCCGCGCGCGCGTGACGACGACCGAGCGCCCGACCGCGGACGCGAAGCGCGGCGGGGGCTCGAGCGCGGGCGTGAGCGACATCTCGTCGCAGATCAAAGACGTCCGCGCGCTCATGGAGGAGGACGAGGATCTCAACACGCTCATGCAGGGACTCCGAGGCACGAACATCGACGACTCCGACTTCGCCGCGGACGGCGTGCAGATGCAGGTCGTCGACCTGAGCGGGATGCAGTCCGACGGCGAGGACGACGCGCTGCCGTTGTATTACGACCCGGAGCTCATCGCGAAGTACTGGCGTCGACGCCCCGCGGCGGTGACGCAACGCGTCGTCCAGCTCTTGTCCATCGCGGGCGGGTTCATCTCCGGTATTTTGTCCGATATCGTCATGAAGAGGACGGAGCAGAACAGCGTGAAGCGCGCGATTCAGCTCAGGGACATCGTCACGTCCCTGGGCCCGGCGTACATCAAGCTCGGGCAGGCGCTGTCGATTCGCCCGGACATCCTCACCCCCGCGGCGATGAACGAGCTCCAAAAGCTGTGCGACAAAGTTCCGTCGTTCGATAACAAGATCGCGTTCGACACCCTGGAAGCGCAGCTCGGGTGCAAGTGGCAGGACGTGTACTCCGAGCTCGGCCCGGACCCGGTCGCGGCCGCGAGCTTGGGGCAGGTGTACAAGGGCGTCTTGAAGGAAACCGGGGACGTCGTCGCGGTGAAGGTGCAGAGGCCCGCGGTGCTCGAGACCGTATCCATCGACTTGTACTTGATCCGGCGTTTGGGCATCGCGCTGAGAAAGGTCCCGCAGGTGAACACGGACGTCGTCGCGCTGCTGGACGAGTGGGCGGAGCGGTTCTTCGAGGAGCTGGACTACGTCAAAGAGGGCGAGAACCAGACGAACTTCGCGGCGTCCATCAAAGAAGATCTGCCGCAGGTGGTCGTCCCGAAGACGTACATGGAGTGGACGCGCAGGAAGGTGATCACGTCCGAGTGGCTCGACGGCGAGAAGTTGTCGCAGTCCACCGCGGACGACGTCGGCGACCTCGTCAACATCGGCGTGATTTGCTACCTGAAGCAGCTGCTGGACACGGGATTTTTCCACGCGGATCCGCACCCGGGAAACTTGATCCGAACGCCGGACGGGCGGCTCGCGATCCTCGATTTCGGTCTCATGACGAACATCGACGACAACATCAAGTTTGGGATGATCGAGGCGATCGCGCACCTCATTCACAAGGACTACGAGGCGATCGTGGAGGACTTCGTGACGTTGGATTTCATCCCCGAGGGCGTGGATCTCAAGCCGATCCTCCCGCCGTTGTCGCGCGTGTTCGACCAAGCCCTCGCCGGCGGCGGCGCGAAGAACATCAACTTCCAGGAAGTCGCCGCGGACCTCGCGCAGATCACGTTCGATTACCCGTTCAGGATCCCCCCGTACTTTGCGCTCATCATCCGCGCGATCGGCGTCCTCGAGGGCATCGCGCTCGTCGGCAACCCCGAGTTTGCGCTCGTGGACGAGGCGTACCCGTACATCAGCAAGCGGCTGCTCACGGACGACTCTCCGCGCCTGAGGGAGAGCTTGCGGTACATGGTGTACGGCAAAGGGCAGGTGTTCGACGCGGATCGGTTGATCGACGTCTTGGAAGCGTTCGAGAGCTTCAGGATCGCGAGCAGGATGAGCCAAGGGAAGACGGCGGACAAGGCGGCGGCGGCGGCGGCGGCGGCGGCGGCGGGCGGAGAGAACACCCCCGAGGCGTTCTTCCGTCAGATCGAAGCGCTGATCCCGCCCGGGTTCCCGCGGCCGCCGTCGCCGTTCCCGGCGACGCCCGCGCCCGCGGCGGCGAGCTCCGGGGAGGACGCGGCCGCGAGAGAGGCGCTCACGTTCGTGTTGTCCCCCGAGGGGTCGTTCTTCCGCGAGTTTTTACTCGACGAGGCGGTCAAAGGCATCGACGCGTTGTCGCGCGATAACGCCGCGAAGGTGCTCGCGCAGGTCGGCCTCGCGGACGCGCGGCTGCCGCTGCTCCTTCCCTTGTCCGGGATCCGAAGCGTGAGGGTGTCCCCGTCCGTCACCGCGGAGGACAGAGCCACGGTGGAGTCCGTGACGAAGCTCTTAAACTTTTTGCTGCGAGGCAGCCGCGGCGGCGCCGCCGGCGCCGGCGCCACCTTCGCTGGGGGCGATCCCTCCAAGGCGCTCAGGGAGCTCGGGCCTCTGCTGCCCGCGGTCGCGACGGAGGTGCTGCCGGAGCTCGTCGCGCGGTTGAACAGCAGGCTCACCGCGAGGGCGATACGCGACGTCTTGGGAGCGTCCGGGGCGGGCGTCTCGGAGTCCCGGCAGACGCCGCCGCTCGCGCCGGCGCCGGCGAGCCGGTGAGCGCGAGCCGTCGGTCGTCGGACGAGACGGCGTCCACGGCGAGAGTGTGGGGATGGGGATGGGGGGTAATTCTTTAGATCGCTCGCGTAGTTTTGATGTGTCGCGTTGAACACGAACGTTCAGCCCCGACGCGCGTTTCGCGGCGACCCGCCGTCGCGTCGGTCGGTCTCCGCCTGCCTGCGCTGTTGGCGTCACGAATATCCCGTCTCCCCTCCGTAACGCTAACGCCCAAATGCGAGATTTCGCTCGCGCGACACCGCGCCGCGCCCCGCGCGGAGCGCCGGGACGATGCCGGTCTCGAAAGAGCGCACCGTGCCCATCACGAGCTGGGCGAACGCGGAGCTCGAGGTCTCCGAGCGCCTGCGGAGAAGCGAGCGCGAGTTCCCCGTGCCGAAGATCCCGGAGCTCGCGCGGGAGAGGTCGCGGTCGGCGCCCGAGACGGCCGCGCCGAGATCCCCCGCGCGCGAGACGTCAACCTCGACCTCGGGCGGCGCGCGCGAGCGCAGCCCGGACCACCTCCTGACGAAGCGCCGGGGGAACCCGTTCGGGTTCGGGTTCGCGATCGACGTCCACGCGCTCCTGGACAAGCTCCCGAAGCCCGGACGACGCGCGCCGCCGTCGCCGGCGCGGCGACCGGCGTCCGAGAACGACGCAACCTCGAGCGAGAATTCGCATTCGTCGCCGTCGCCCGCGAAGGAGAACGCGCTTGTCGCCGCCGGTCTCGCGACGCCGCCGCCGACGAAGACCCCGGACGCGGACGCCATGCTCGCGTCGTCCCCGGACGCGGACGCCATGCTCGCGTCGTCGCCCGCGCCGACGTGGACGCCGAAGCATCTGGACTCGGCGAACAAACTCAACGCGGAACTCCACGCGAAGCTCGTTCGCGAGCAAGAGAAGGCGCGCGAGGCGATCAAGAATCTGAAGCGAGAGCACGACGCGCGTCTGAACAAAGAGCGCGGCGAGCGAAAGGAAGAGGTGAGACGTATGAACGAGCAGCACGAGGCGCGAGCGAAGAAGAGAGAGGAGGAGGCGTCGCGAGAACGCGAAAAGAGGGAGGACGAGCGCGAGCGCGCGCGAGAGAGAGACGCGGACGACTTGAAGCGTCTGAACGAGCGGCTCGAGGAGAAGGCGACGCGCCTCGGCGAGGAGATGCGACGCCTGTGCGACGAGCACGAGGCACGGCTGAAGAAACACGACGACGAGCGGAAGGCGGAGCGAGAAAACGTCAGGCGACTGAAGGCGGAGCACGACGCCGCGAGAAAGGCGGACAAAGCCGTCGCGGAGGGGAAATACGCCGAGTACGAGAAAGCGGTCGCGTTGGGGAAGCTGGAGATGGAAGACCTCGCGCGTCAGCTCGAGAAGGACCGCCGCGAGCTCAGGACCGAGCGCGGGGAGTTCAAGATCCGCGTGCGCCGGTTCCAAGAGGACCACGACCTGATGGAGAGCGAACTGGACGAGACGCAGACCAACGCGCAGATGATGCTTCGAGAAGCGCAGGCGGAGATCATCGCGCTGAAGAACACCGCGCAGAGAATAGAGGCGGAGTGGGAGGTCACGAAGCTCGAGCAGGCTGCGGTCGCGGCGGAGAAGGAGAAGGAGCGCGCGCGACAGAAGGTGGAGTTGCGATTTAAAACCGTGTGGATGAGCGCGCTGCGCGCGTCGTTTGTTCGGTGGAAGAGCGAGTCGAGGCGCATTAAAAATGGACGCGCGATCGAGGAAGAAAGGAAGCTGCTCATAAGCAACGCGGCGAAAGCGGAGAAAGCGCTGGAGGAAGAGAGCGCGCGAGGCGCCGCGATGCTCGAAGCGGCGAGAGAAGAGGCCAAACGCGAACGCGAAGCGGCGAAGCTCCAGCGCGAGGAAACGCTCGCGGCCGCGAAGAAGGATCTGAACGACGCGGAGGCTGCGAAGAAGGCGGCGATCAAGAAAATGGAGGACGCTCTGAAAGCGCAAACGGAGGCGACGATCAGGGCGCAAAATCAGCTGGAGGAGGCGGAGCTCAACCAGGCGGCGGCGGCGCGCGCCGCGTCCGTCGCGGCGCTTGGTCGATTGGAACAAAGAGCCGCGTTGAGGTTTCGAACCGTTCTCATGAGTTTGCTGCGGTCGTCGTTCACGCGGTGGAAGAACGAGACGTCTCTCTCGCGCGTAGAGCGCGTCGAGCGCGCGGAGATGCTCGAGCACAAGGCGGCGAAGGAACGCGCGGAGCAGGCGTTGGAGGACGCGCGCGCGTCACAAGAGAAGATGATCGAGGGCATGAAAGCAAAGCACGAGGAGAGTGTGGACGCCATCAAGACGGAACATTCGCGTGCCGTGGAGACGATCAAAGCTGAGCATTCAGAGGCTGTGTCGAAGCTCGAGGACGCGCTGCGAAAGTCGAACGAGGAGATTTCGACCGCGAAGAAGCATCTCGAGGAGGCGAAGCTCGCGCAAAACGCGGCGGCGAAGAAGGTCGAGGTTGCCGCTCGGGAGCGGGCAGCGCAGACGGCGACGTTGCGGTTCCGAACCGTCCTCATGGGGTCGCTTCGGTCGTCGTTCGTGCGATGGAAGTACGTCGCGAAGTACCAGAAGATGGAACGCACGGAGCAATCCGAGAGGCTCGCGCTCGTCAAGGAGAAGGAGAAAGCCGAGAACGAGCTCGCGGAAGCGCGAAAAGCGAATCAGGAGACGGTCGCGGCGATGCGCTCGAAACAAGCGGAAACGCTGCAAATCATCGAGGATGCGAAACAATCCATCGCGAAGCAAGTCCAGGAGAAGCAAGACTCGACGATTAAAAAACTCGAGGAAGCGCTCGAGAAGCAAACGAACGCGACGCTCAGGGCGCAGAAGCAGTTCGATGACGCGGAGCTCGCGCGCGCGGCGGCGGTGCAAGCGGCCAAAATCGCGGCGACGGAAAGAGCGCTGCAAAAAGCCGCGCTCCGGTTCAAGACTGTGATGATGGGCTCACTGCGCGCGTCGTTCCAGCGGTGGAAATACGCAGCGAAGTTCATGCGACGCGACCGGGAAGCGGATGCGGAGCGAGAGACCCTCCTCGCATCGACTCGAAAGGCGGGGCGCGAGCTCGAGGACGCGAGGCGCGCGCAGGAAGACGCCGTCGCGAGCCTGCGCGAGAAGCAACGAAAGGAGAAGCAACGGTTGGAGGAGCAGCACGCGGCGGCGGCGGAGCAAAAGGCGTCGACGTACGCGGAGCAGCTCGCGGCGATCAAACGGGAAGCCGCGGCCGCGTTGGCCTCCGCGAGGGAGGAGGAGTTAGACTCGACCGCGGACATCGAACGACGCGTAAAAACCGCGGTCGATCAGACCAAGTTGGAGCTCGGCTCGAGCGTGGATCAACTCCGAGCGCAGCTCGCGTCGCTCGAGATAAAGCTCACCGCGTCACGAAAATCGTTCGAGATGGCGTCGCACAGGAACGCGACGCTCGAGGACGAAGTGGACGCCGCGAATCGCAAGGCGGACGAAGCGCAAAAGGCGTATCAAGGCGCGAGAGCCGCCGCCGCGTTCATGGAAGCGGACGCGGACGAGATGAAGCAAGTGCTCGATCAGGTGAACGAGGCGCACGCGCTCGCGCTCGAGGACGAACGGAGGAAGCTCGCGCGCGCGGAGGCGATGAACCTCGCGGGCGACGAAGAGATGAGAAAAGAGATCAATCGGCTTCACTCTGAGCTGGAGGAGCAGAAGCTGTTGGTCGCGGCGGCGTCTAAGGCGACGAAGGACGCGATGGCGGCCGCCGCGGCGAAGGCGGCTGAGGCGGCGAAGGCGGAGTCGGAGGCGGCGAGAGCGCGCGAGTCGATGCTCTTGAGCGACGCCGCGTCGAGCGCGGAGATGGCGAAAACGAACGCCGCGATGAGCGACCGCGAATCGCTCGCGAAAGAGTGCGAGCAGCTGCGTCTGGAGCTCGCCGCGGCGAGGCAAGCCGCGGCGTTAGTGGCGAACTCCCCCGCGAGCGAGGAGCGAAAGAGAACATCCGCGAGGAAGGCGTCGCCCTCGCCCGCGCCCGCGGGTTCGGCTTCGTCCTCGAAAAAGAAGAGCGCGAGACAGAGGGGCACGATCACGGTCGACGAGCACGAGGAAGCGATCGCGCTCCTCCGAGGAGAGATCCAAGTCCTGGTGTCGCGGTTAGGGGACGTCGGGAAGAACGACGAGGTCACGGACGAGGACGTCGCCCGCGCTCGGTCGAAAGCGGCGAAGGATTTAGACCTCGCGATTCAGCTCACGGAGGACTGGGAAGAGGAGCCGCGGACGCCGCGCGGCGCGAATGACGACGACGGGAGCGAGTCCGGAAGCGAGTCCGACGACGACCACGTCGAGACCGTCGTGAAGCTCAACAACCGATGCAAGACGCTCGTGGTGAAAGGCAAAGCCGCGCTCGCGCGAATCGTCGCGTTGGAAGTCGAGCTCGCCTCCGCGGTGAACGAGAAGGAGTCCGCCACCGCGTGGGCGCTCGCGTGCACGCGCCGCGCGAAGGGCGCGGAGGAGGCGGCGATGTTCGCGAAGGACGAGGCGAGAGATTTGAAACTCCGGACGCGAGACATTCGGTTGGGGAAGCGATCCACGGAGGCGGAAGACGTCGATCCGATCGCCGCGAAGGCGGCCATCGAACGCTTAGAGGTGGAGCTCTCGGAGGCGCGCGACGCGGCGGCGGCGAGCGCCACGACGATCGCGGAGATTGCGCGCGAGAGGGACGTCTTGAAGCGCGAACTCGTGGGCTACGAGCGACGGAAGAAAGCGGGCGGGGACTTCGACGAGCTCATCTCCGGCAGCAACGTCATCGAACGCTTAGGGATGACGCCGGTGAAGGCGAAGGAGGAGCCGGAGCCGGAGGAGGAGGAGGAGGAGGAGGGATTTTTTGCCTGGCTCACGACGCCGTCGAGACAGCCGGACGTCGAGGAGAAAGCGAAGAAGAAAGAAGAGGACGATGAGCCCGGTTTCTTCAGGACGTTATTCGGTCTCACCCCGAGCAAAGACGCGGCCGGCGAGGGAGGCGCGAGGCCCGCCGCGAGCGAAAAATCGGATTCGTCGGCGTCTCGATCCGACGCGTTCGCCACCGCGGCGCCGCGCTTCAGGAGCGGCGCCAGCGTCACGAGCGGCGACGACGCCGCGACGAGGAATCTCGCGAACACGCCGCCGTCGATCCCGAAGCTCGACCTCTCGCGCGTGTCGCGGAGCCCCGGGGAGGAGCGCGACCGAGGGGGGCGGGAAGGCGCCCGGTCCGACGCCGACGCCGACGCCGAATCCGACGCCGAATCCGACGCCGCGTCGGGAGACGCTCGGCGCGTCGCCGGGGAGGCGTCCGAGTCGGACGCGAGGTCGAGATCGGGTCCGGGGGGGTTCTGGAAGCGCGTGGCCGGCGACGACGCGGACTTTTCCGACTCGGACAGCGTCGAGTCCGTGAGCGGGCAACTGTGACGGCGACGCGCGCAGACGGTAGACGTGACGATTTCGGAGCTATACTGTAGGTAGCTAGCTAGCTAGTTCCCTTTCGGCGAGTGCATCTCTTCCGCTCTGAGCTCCTCCCCGTCCGGCTGCTCGTACCATTTCACAACCTCCGGGAGCGCGTAAAATTTCTCGAGGAGCGCCGTCACGGCCGGATACCCCTCTAAGAGGCCCGGGTCGATGCCGTCGTTCGCGCCGCCGACGAGCCACCGCAACCGCGGGGAGAAGACAAAGTCCGCGATCGAGGGTTTCTCCGTCCCCGCGAGCCACCCCGTCTTCGACGCCTCGAGCTTCTTCTGCAGCGCGGACAGGTGACGCGGGAGCACTTCGTCGTTGAGCGCTTTCCTCACCTGCGCGCGGTACTCGTCCGACATCTCGAACCCGAAGCGCGCGCCGTATCTCGACACGGAGATCCCCGCGAAGAAGTCCTCCTCCGCCGCGGCGACGGCGTCCACGTGCGCAGCCTCGAGCGGGTCCGTGGGGTGCAGCCCTCCGAGCGTCGCGACGTACCTGAGGATCGCGCTCGACTGCGCGAGGATGCGCCCGTCGCCCACGTCGAGCGCGGGTACCTGGCCGAACGGAAGCTCGCCGGAGTCTCGCATCTCGTGGAACTTCTCCCGCGAGGTGCGCACGTCGTCGAGCTGGACGCCGCCGACGGCCGCGCACAGGCGGATCGCCTCCGCCTTGCCGGGGATGTCGAAGTAGATGAGCTTCATCTCTGTAGGGCGCTTCTGCTCGGTCTTGTCTCGCCGGGGACAGCGCTCCGCGCGTGGCTTTGTGCCGCGGGCGCGCGTCGAGGCTTAGATTTACCAACTGTGAATCTGACATTATTTACTACGATCGCTCGAACGTCGTCGCCTTCCACACGTCGGCGCTCCCGCGAGGGAGTCGGAGCGACGGCGATGGCGCGCCCGCGGCGGCGAGCCTCGCCGCGGAGGGAAACGCCCTCGAGGACGTCGAGGAGACGCGTCCACGACGCGACGCGTCTCCTCGCGTGCCTCCTCGCGTGCCTCCTCGCGTCGTTCGCGAGCGGAGCCGCGGGCCAATCTCCGCCCCCACCGCCTCCGCCTCCCCCGCCTCCACCTCCGGGGTACGGCGCCACGCTCGCGCCGTCGTTCGTCGCGTTCAGGGGCATCGCGTACCCGGCGATACCGAGCCACCTCGTCCGGAACGACTCCGCGACGCTCGAGGTCCAGCTGGACGCGCCGGGATGCGTGTACTTTCTCGCCACGAAACCCGGGCACGGGCTCGTCGTGAACGCGAGCACGGGAAAGAAGCGGACGACGCCGACGCCGGAGGAGGTGCGCGCGGGAAGACACGGCGGGAACGCGACGTGGGGGCACGGCGCCGTGGACGCGGGGAACATCACCGTCGCGACGGCGTCCGTCACCGCGAGCGCGAACGTGACGAATTTAACGCTGACGAACGACGTCTGGGTCGTCGCGGCGGCGACGGACTGCGCCCCCGCGTCGTCGTCCGCAGCGCTGCAGCCGTACGTCTCGCTGATCGTCGCGAACACGAAAGACGCCGCGCCGCCGGCGTTCGCGTCGGGCACGCCGACGTTCCGAACGGAAGCGTTTCTCGTGAACGCGACGATCGCGCTCGACGAACCCGGGGTGGCGTATCTCGTCGTGCAAGCGCCCGGGACGCAGGCGCCGTCGAGCGCGCAGGTGATGGCCCGCGCGGGCGGGGCGAGCCCGGAGGCGTTATCCTGCGTCGTGAACGTCACGAGGGCGAACGTGCTGACGTATTGCGCGGTGAGCGGGCTCACCGAGGTGACGAGTTACTCCGCGTACTTAGTCACGAGGGATAACAACGGCGACGCGCCGAACGCGTCGCCGTCGCCGACGCGGTTTGATTTCACGACTCGAGACGAAACGCCCCCTATTGGAGCGTTATCGATCACATCCGTCCACGGCGTCGGATTCGAGATCAAAGCCGACTCGACGAAGAACGGGACGGTGTACTGGGGCGTCGTCCCCGCCGGGAGCGTCTTAGTCCCGATCGTCGGATACACAGAGGCGTTCCGCGCGCAGAAGATGTTCGAGGACGTTCGAAACAACGGCACCGCGGCGTCGCCGTTCAACGCGAGCAACGCCGGCGCGTTCTTCAAAAACGCGGGCTCGTTCACCGTGAGCGGCGTGAACGCGACGGCACGGGGGAACGCGAGCCGCGCGCTGACCGTGGGCGTCGCGACCGGGACGGTCAACGTCACGGGGTTAACCCCGGAGCGCGCGTACGATTTCTACGCCGTGTTTTCCGACGACGCCGACAACCCGTCGTTCAACCTGAGCTCCTCCGATACATTCGACGTGTTCAACACCACGCTGTTCACGCTCGCGTACGTGACGACGCTGGACGTGACCCCTCCCGCGTTCGTGGGCGGGTTCGACGCGACCCCGGGCGGGGCGACCGGGACGCGCGGCGTCGTCGCCGCCGGCCGCGTCTCTCGAGTCACGGCGACCGGCTTCGACCTCACCGCGCGTCTGAACGAACCCGGGATCGTGCGGTACGCGGTGACGCCGCACGCGGCGGCGCAGACGCTCGGCGCGACCGCGACGACGGGCGCGCCGCTCGTGTGGGCGAACGCGCCGAGCGTGGAGGAGATCGTCGGGTGCGTCGGGCGATGCCGCATCGCCGCCGCGGCGTGCGGCGCGTTCGCGGTGCCGACGAGGAACGTCGACGCGACGACGCTCGTCCGCACGGTGGACCTCGCGACGCACGCGGGGTGCGTCGAGGGAGGGCCCGGCGGCGGGTACGCCGCGGGCGCAGACGCGGCGTACAAGACCGCGGTCGCGGGCGGGGCGTACACCGTGGCGGACTGGCGCGGGGCGATCGCGAACGACGCGCGGAACTTTTCCGCGTTTAACGCGTCGTTTAACGCGACGACGCGCGCGGCGTCTCTGGTGGGCGCGGCGCGGTGCGACGCGGACGGCGACGGCGTCGAGGATGCTCTCGCGTCGCTGCCTCCGTCGCCGTCGCGCGCGAGCGCGTGCCCCTGGCTTTCCCCAGAGGGCGCGTACGACGTTTGGGTCGTCGCGGAGGACGACGGGAACGACGTCCTCGCGAACGCGTCCGCGGGCGGGAACGGGACGACGACGGCGGCGAATCGAGGAACGCACGCGTTTCGAGCGTTACCGCCAAACCCGGAGAATTGGACCGGACCGTCCTTGGTCGTCGCAGACGTCGCGCCACCGACGTTCACGGCGTCGTATCCCGCGTTGATCGACCTAAACGGCAGCGCGCTGCGGTTCGACGCGTCGCTGAGCGAACCCGGCGCCGTCGTCTTCGCGTTGCGGCTGAACGCCTCCTCGGACCCGGTCGCGACGCGCGCCGGGATCGAGGCGAGGGCGAACTTCAGCGCCATCTCGCGCGAACCGTACGCGGCGCTCGTCCCCGGCGCGAACGCGGGCGTGTTGAACGTGACCGACGCGAACGTCAACGTCAGCCACGTCATAACGGATCTGCCCGAGCCGGACCTGAGCTCGACGCGGCGCGGCGCGACGCTCGCGGTGGACTACTTCGCGATCGACCTCGAGCCGACGCGGCTGTCCTCGCTGACGCGCTCGACGCGCGCGGTGCCGAACGCGGGCCCAGTGCGCGTCGCGACGCGGAAGATGTCGGACGTGGAACCGCCGGTGTGGACCGCGAGCGGTGCGCCGAAGGCGGCGGCGGTTCCCGTCGCCGCGGCGACGGTGAACGCGTCGCTCGCCGGCGGCGCCGGCGGCGGCGCCGCGCTCGCTCGCCTCATCGTCCACGCCGAGACGGACGAGAACGCGACCGTCTACTTCGTCGTCGCGCGGAACGCGAGCGCGAACTACTCGCACGCGCGGCCGGAGATGACCCCGACGAGGGTGATGAACGCGAGCACCGGGTCGGCGGCGTATCCGGTGGTGGCCAGCGGCAGCTTTCGGAATTTCACCGGCGCGACGCGGTCGCCGTCGCCGTGGACCTCGCCCGGGTACCTGCTCGCGCAGAGCGAGAAGTACGCCGCGTGGTTCGTCGCGGTGGACAACTCCACGGACGACGCGCGCGGCGCGAACGCGCAGGAAGACGTCGTGCTCGTGCCGTTCGTCGCCCCGGACTTTCGCCCGCCGACGTTTACGACGCGCGGGCCGCGCGCGTGGTGCGTTCGAAACACGAGTTTTTCACCCACCGCTCGGTTTCAACATTTGATCGCGTCCCCTTTCAACTGACCGACCGGTGAATTGAATTTTTTTTGCAGGATCACCTCCCCGGCGACGGGGACCACGTTCGGCGTCCCGCTCGTCGCGAACGCGTCGCCTTCCGGGACGTTCACGTTGTCTATCGCGTTCGACGTTCCCGGGGACGCGTACTACGTCGTCGTCGACGGCGGCGCGAGCGAACCGACGAGAGCGCGGGTGGTCGCGGGGACGGACGCGGCGGGCGCGACGCCGCTCGCGGCTGGCGTCGTGTCCGCGCCGACCGCGAACGCTCTCGCGTCTGCGAACGTGTCCCTCGGGGCTGGTCAGTCCGTGTCGAGCGCGAGCGCGGGGTACGACGTCTTCGTCGCCGTCGTCGCGTCGAGCGCGGGCGGCGACGTCGCGTTCTCCGGCGACGGCGCGGCGCCGGGGAACGTCGCGCGGACCAACGCCGCGAAGGTCGCGCCCGGGCTCGTCCCGGATGCCGCCGCGGTGGCCGCGGGCGAAACCCCGGCGAAAGGCGCGGACTGCGTCGGGGTCAACGCGATCGGGGAGACGTCGATCACGCCGCAGTTTTCCCTGAGCGCCGTCCCCGCGAAAGTCGCGTACGTGCTGTTAAAGCACGGCGCGAAGGCGCCGTCGCCGGCGCAAATTCTCGCGGGCGTCGACGCGCACGGCGCCTCCCCGGGCGGCGGCGGCTCCGATTTCCCGGACACCCGCTCGTCCTCCACGGCGGGTCACGGCGACGTCCTCACCGCGTTCACGCCCACCGCGATCGGCGGCGGGATAGTAAACCTCACGAAAGGCGTTCTGTACGACGTCTACGCCGTCGCCGTCCACGCCGCGGCGGCGACAACGACGGGCCCCGACGGCGTCTCGACGCCGTACGCCAACGCGCCCCCTCGCGCGGTGTCGCGGACGATCCGCACGCTCGACAACACGCCGCCGTTCTTCCTCCCCGGGCACCCGCGCGTCGCCGCGGTCGTGCCCACGGGCGCGACGCTGGAGGTGCGCGTGGACGAGACCGCCGCGGTGTGGGTCGTCGTCGTGCCGTTCGGGTCCGTCGCGACGCCGACGTCGGCGGACGTCGCCGCCGTCGCCGCCGCCGCCGCGGGGGCGACGAGCGGCGTCGCGCACGTCGCCGTGACGGCCACCTCGCCCGCGCTCGCGTCGGCGCGCGCGAGCTCCGCGCTCGGGGACACGGAGTCGAAGCGTTCGGGCGCGGGCGACGACGTGCTCCCGCTCGTTTTGACGCTCACGGGTCTGTCCCCGTCGACGCGGTACGACGCCTACGTCGTCGCGAGGGATTTCGTCGGCCGCGAAGAAGTCGGCTCGGGCGGGGTGGACGCGGTCAACCTCCTTCAAGATTTGCCCACGAAGATTGCGATCGTGACCCCGGACGCGGCCGCGTGGCTCGAGTCCCTGACCCCCAGCGTCGGGACGCTCGAGCCGCGGTTCGACCCGAGCGCGGGGTCGTACCGTCTGCTTCTCCCGGACCCCGCGCTCCCCGGCGTCGCCGCGCCGTCGGTGTCGTTCGTCGCCGCGGTCGCGAACGAGGACTGGGTCGTCACCGTCGACGGCGTCGAGGCGATGCCCGGCGTCGCGTCCGCGCCCGTGCTCGTCGGCGCGGACGCGGTGGAGGTGATCGTGCGCGTCGCGCCGAGGGCGGACGCGCTGCCTCCGGGCGCCGCAGCCGCCGCCGCCGCGGAGACGCCGGCGACGTACAAAATCGCGGCGATGCGCTCGTCCGTCGCCGCCGCCGCGAGGGCCGCGGACGCGACGCTCGCGCTGCTTCACGTCGCGCTCGACACCGGGGATTCCTTCAACGCCACGGATCTCGGCGGGGAATCGTGGCCCGGGTGCCACCGCGCGTGTCGTCCCCCGGGGACGTCGCCGCCGTGCGCTTCGTCGTGCGCGTTGGACCCGAGCCAGCGCCGGTACCGGCTCGTCGCGCCGACGTCCGCGGACGTCGCGACGATCACGACGGTGACCACGTCCCCAGGCGCGACCGTGAGAGTGTTCGACGGCCCCCCGGAGGTGGTTCTCGGCGTCGCGAGCGCGGCGGCGTCGGGCGCGGTCGCGGCGGCGGCGGACGCGGCGGGCGCGTCGCCCGGCGCGACGGCCGCCGCCGCGTCGCTTCGCCGGGTGGAACTCAACGCGCCGTCCCTGGGCGCGGCGGCGCTCTACGTCCGCGTCACGTCCGCGGACGGCACGCGCGTGGCGTACTACGTCGTCGCCGTGCGACGGACCGGGCCGGGGGCGTACGAGCGCGGCGGCGTCGGCGGCGGCGTGGACTCGGTGGGGGGGAACCGCGCGGACGCGGATCGAGGGTTGGCGAGCAGGACGGCGCCGAACGAACGGAGGCGGCCGGTGGGGCACGCGAGCGCGCCGCCGCTGACGTTCTACCCGAGGTGAGGACGACGACGGGCGTCTCGGGGGATGGGGGTCGTGGTTATCTCTTCGCATTAGCGTTAGACCTAGCTAGCATCCTTAGTGAAGAGGAAAACGTAGACTCAACGCGGCCGCCTTCCTTTCATGTCGTCTTACTCGTCAACACTGTTCGTGACGGATAAATCGAAACCCGCTGCTCGAAAACCTCGAAAAGTGCGTGCTGCAGCTGTTCGTCTTCGCGGCATCATTCCCCGCGCGCACTCACCGCTGCCCGTCATGGATTGGACGACGATCGAGAGCGACCCCGGGGTCTTCACCGAGCTCATCCAGGAGATGGGGGTGAAGGGCGTGCAGGTCGAGGAGCTGTACGCGCTCGACGAGGACCTGCTCAAGTCCATGGCGTGCGTGCCCTCCCGATCGAACGCGCCGATCTACCGCTGAATGAATCATCCCGCCCTCGGCGCGTCCCCGAGATCTGACGCGACCCGTCCCTCCCCCCCCCGGCGACCCCCTTCATCCCGCAGTCCCGTGTACGGCCTCATCTTCCTGTTCAAATGGCGCAGCGGCGATCCCCCGAGCGCGCCGGTGGAGACGGACGCGAACGCGAACGGCGTCTTCTTCGCGAGCCAGGTCATCACGAACGCGTGCGCGACGCAGGCGATCCTGTCCATCCTGATGAACTGCCCGCCGAGCGTCACGCTCGGCGCGGAGCTCGCGAACATGAAGGAGTTCACCGCGGAGTTCGACGCGGACTTGAAAGGGCTCGCCATCTCGAACAGCGAGACGATTCGCAAGGCGCACAACTCGTTCGCGCGCCCGGAGCCCATCATGGAGCCTGAGAGGGAGGCGAAAAAAGACGACGACGTGTTTCACTTCATCGCGTACATGCCCGTGAACGGCGTCTTGTACGAGCTCGACGGCCTGAAGAAAGGGCCGATATCGCACGGCGCGTGCACGGACGACGATTGGATGGGGAAGGCGTGCCCGGTGATTCAGTCCCGGATCGAAAAGTACGCCTCGAGCGAGATTCGATTCAATCTCATGGCGTTGATCAAGAGCAAGCGAGACGCGCTGGAGGAACGCGCTCAGACCTTGGAGGGACGGAAGCAGCGGTGTCTCAGCGCGTTAGGCGGCGGCGGCGGCGGGGGCGGCGGCGAGGGGATGGACGTCGACGACCCGGACGGCCCGCTGCCGGTCGGGGACGACGCGCTGAACGCGGAGGTGGCGAGGATAGAAGTCGAGATCGCGCGATCGAGAGGGGAGGTGGAGGCGGAGCTGGAGCGGCGGGGGCGGTGGCGGGACGAGAACATCCGTCGGAAGCACAACTACATCCCGTTCATCTTTAACTTTCTCAAGGTGCTCGCGGAGAAGAAGAAGCTGGAGCCGCTCATCGAGAAGGCGCGGGGTAAGGGCGCGTGAGAGAGAGAACGAGTTGAGCGAGCGCGCTAAAAAGCGAGTCGTCGTTTTAACGCGACGACGATTCCTTCCTTCCTAATAAGCGCTACGAAGGTACCTCACTCCTCAGTCGAACACGAGTCGGTCCACGCCGCCGGCGCTCGATTCCGTGACCCTCTTCGGCGGAGGCGCCGCCAGCGCCGCGGCCGCGTCGGCCGCGGACACCGCTTTCGCGCTCCTCCCCGCCCCAGGTCCTCCCGGCCTCGGCCCCCGCGGCCGCCCCGACGGCGGTTGCGGCCGCATCGCCCCCCTCGGCGGCGGCTGCGGCGGCGGCTGCGGCGTAAACTTCGGAGGCGTTGGAAGGTCCATCGGCGGCGCCGGCGCCGCCGACGGCGTCGCCGCCGGCTCTGCGACGCCCCGCTCAGGCTCGAGCTCGTACTTGTACTCCAGCGGCGGCGGCTCGCGCGCAAACTCCAGCTCGTCCGCGCCGAGGAGCCCTCTCCTCGAAAACGTCTCCGCCATCTCGATCTTCCACCGCCGCAGCGACGTCAATATGTCCTCCTCCTCGTTCGCGCGCGCTCCGCCCGCTTCTCCGCCCGCTTCTGCGTTCGTCGCGTCCGCGCCGTTCGCGTTCGCGGCGGCCGCGCGCTCGCGCTTCCGCCGCGCTAACAGCTTCGTCGGGTTGCCGACGACGATCCCCTCGCCCGCGGTCAACGTGCTGCCGCCGCCGCCGCCGCCGCCGCCGCCGTCGCCGAGGCCGAACCCCCACCCGTTCGCGGTGTCCCCGCGGTCGGATAACCCCGCGCGGGACTCTTTCACTCGGTTCTTCCTCCAGAACAGCGAGTCCGCGCTCTCTGGGCGTCCGTATACGTCCCCCGCGGACATCGCGGTCCCCGGCCTCGAGCCCCATCCGCCGCCGCCGCTGCCGCCGCTGCCGCTCGACGCCGCCGTCCCCGGCCGGCTCCGCGCGCTCGCGGCGCGGCTCCGCCAGCTCGTCGCCGTCCCGGGCCTCCCACTCGTCGCCGTCCCGGGCCTCGACGACGACGTCGACGCGATCGACGCGGCCGTGCCCGGGCGCGAAGACCACCCTCGCGCGGATCCCCCCCCGGACGCGTTCGAAGCCGCCGTGTTCGGCCGCGAGTTCGTCCTAACGGTCGCGCCTAAAGAGTTACAGCGCACGAGCGCGCTCGTGCTGTCGTGCATCCCGCTCCCCGCGCTGCTCGCACCGCTGCTCGGGCGGCTCGGTCCGCCGCCTTGGCTGCTCCCCGGCCGCGGCGGCGGTCGCGACGCCATCCGACTCAGATGATCTTCCAGCGGCGGCGCGGCGTCCAAGCCGAACTCGTCCCCTCCCAGCGGGTCCTCCGCGAGCTCGATCGAGAGCTCGCCGGTGAACGCGTCTCGCGTCAGAACCGCGTCCGGGTCGTCGATCCCGACCGCGGCGTACTTGATCCCCTCGGTGACCATCGCCATCTCCGCGTCGGACGTCTCGCCGTCTCCTACTCCGCCTTTTCGATCGCCGCGCCCGTTTTCGTTTTCGTTTTCTTTCCCCCCCGCGTCGGCGTCGCCGACGATCGCCGCCCGGTCCTCCTCCGACACGTCGACGTCGTCCAGCGCGCGCAGACCAGGCATCGCGCGCGCGACGAGTCGCCGGTAGTGTTTCACGCGCGACAGCGGGTTCCCCTCCAGCGTCACGGACGTCAACTTCGGGCACATCCCGAGGTAATCTGGCGCGTCCGGGTCCGCGACGCGATTGCCCTCGAGGTCGACGACGCGCAGATCGTCCAGCTCCGCGAGCGGCGACACGTCCGCGACCTCGTTGTACGACGCGTAGAGCTCGCGCAGCCTGAGCAGCGAGCCGATCCCGGCGAGGTCCTCCAGGCCCGACCGCGAGATCCACAGCACGGTGAGCCTCTGGAACGCGCTCCCGAACGTCCGCATCGACGGCGCGACGGAGTTGCTCATGCGCAGCCTCGCGAGCGACGGCATCGCGCGCCCGACGCCGCCGAGGTCCTCCCTCGTGCAGTCCGCGCGCATCTCGAGCGTCGCGCACGTCGTGAGGTCGTCGCACCCGGCGAGGGACTTCAGGTACGCCTCGCTGAAGCACGTCGCGTAGGACCCGTCGAGGGCGTACGACGACGCCTCGTCCGCGTGCATCGTCGAGCCGAACTGCGACGCGTGAAGGAGCGACGCGGACGACGGCTCGCGCGCCGGGGCGCTCGCGTCCGCGCCATCCCCGCGCCCGAAGTCGTCGTCGTCCAGGGGATGGAACCCGGGCTCGTCGTCGTCGTACACCTCCGCGTCCAGGTACGCGACGTCCAGGTCCACCATCGCGGCACCGGCCCCGGGGCGCCGCGATATGCCCGGTCAACCCGCGGCGTCGCGTCGCGTCGCGTCGGTCCCCTTCGGGATATTTCGCCGCGGCTGACTGCCGCGGAAGGGACGACTGGCGGACGACCCGATGGGAAGGGGAATAAAAGAGTCCTCGACGCGCGACCGACGCCAGATCAGAAGACGCGGCGCGTCGGGGCGCGGACGCGACCGGAACGTCGCCCGTCGCGGCGCGTATCCATCGCGATGGAAGCGCCGTCGTCGCCGATGCTGGACGACAGGACGATAGAGGCGCGTCCGTCGCGCGTCTGCCCTCTCCCGCGCACTCCGTTCATTCCCGGACGTTTTTCCGCGTTTTTCGGCACCCGATTCCGAGCCGAGGCGCGCGAGCCACGACGCGAGCGCGCATCTGAGCGCGCGCCCCGCCCAACCCCTCCACGTCCGTCTCCCGCACTCACAACGCGCAGACCGCGATCGCGCTGGACATCGACCCGTTCTCGGAGGAGCACCTCCTCTGGATCCCTCGCCGCGCGCTGGACGACGCCTCGCTCCCGCCGGGATGGAGCCGCGTCACGCGCGAAAACCTCACCGAGGGGTACCTCCACGCGGAGACGCGTCGCGAGCTGGACGAGCACCCGCTGTCGGAGGAACTCCGCGCGACGGTGATGCGAGAGCGCGCGCGCGTCGCCGCGGCCGCGGCGAAGAAGCGAGCCGCGCCGCGCGCGCCGCTCGGGCGCATGGGCACCGGTCTGAGCCTGCGGGAACAGCACGCGGCGGCGAACAAGGAGAACGATGCGAACTGGCGAGCGACGGAGGACGCGACGTCCTACGCGTCGACGTCCTACGCGTCGACGTCCTACGCGTCGGCGCCGCCGCCGGCGAAGAAACCGCGCACGAAACCCAGCGCGAAAGAGACCGCGGCCGCGGAGGCGTCCACGCGCGTCGCGATGAAAGGCCTGCGGCGCAGAGTCGCCGCGCTCGAGGCTGAACTCGCGGGGAAGGACGACGCGTTCGAGGAAGAGCGGATGCGTCTGGAGCGCGAGGTGAACGTCGCGATCATCGATAAGGTCGAGCGCGAGAAGGCGAGGCTGGAGGAAGAGCGCGTCGCGATGCGACTGGACCTGAAGAACGCGATAGAGCTCGAGCGGCAGATGGCCGCGGAGGAGGCGCGGCGCGAGATGAAGGCGGCGGAGAAGGCGCGGAGGAAAGCGTCCGACGCGACGACGACGGCGCTGCGAACGGAGCTCGCGTCCGAGCGCGCGCGCGGCGCCGAGCTCATCGGCATCATCGCGCAACAGAGTAAAGACCTCGCGAAAGGCGGCGCCGCGGACGTCGCCGCGCGGCTCGCGGCGCTGGACGAGTCCGCGGGCGCGAGAGAGGCGGACTTACGACGCGACGTCGATCAAGTTGAGCGCGAACGCGGCGAGCTTCGAGCCGCGCTCGCGGACGCGGAGGCGGCGACGCGACGCGCCGAGGAGGAACGCGACGTCGCCGCGGCGCGATGCGACGCGGCGCGGCGCGAGCTCGAAGACGCGAGGACCGCGCTCGCGAGGGAGACCGCGGCGAAGGAGGAGCTCCTCGCGCGTCGAGCGGCGGACGATGACGACTTCGCCGCCGCCGCCGCGACGAAGAAGGAGGACGCGGCGGCGGCGGCGACGGCGGCGACGGACGCCGAGCGCGCGTCGCGGTTCCGCGCCGAGGCGCGCGCGATGAAACGCGCGATCGACGAGCTGTGCGCGAAGCAAGACGAGCTGCGCGCGGAGTCCGTCGCGGCCGCGGCCGCCGCGAGCGAGAACATGTCGATCGCGCTTCGAGGCGTGCGCGAGCTCGGGAAGACGGCGGCGGTCGCCGTCGAGCGATGCGCGACGGCGCGAAAAGAGCGGCAGACGTTGTCGAACCGCCTCCTCGAGCTCAAGGGCAACATCCGCGTGTTTCTGCGCGTCCGGCCGATCAGCGCTCGCGAGGAAGCGAACGGCGATGTCGCGGCGGTCAGCGCGGTCAGCGCCTTGGAGGCGAAGATCGAGGGCGGGAAGCGGTACGAGTTGGACCACGTCGCCGGGCCGTCGGCTTCGCAGTCGGAGATTTTCGAAGAGATCGAGCCGTTGATTCGCTCGTGTCTGGACGGATACGACGTGTGCGTGTTCGCGTACGGGCAAACCGGGAGCGGGAAGACGTACACGATGGAGGGCACTCCCGCGGACCGCGGGATCACGTTCCGGTCCCTCGCATCGTTGTTCCGCGAGGCGGAGAGCGACTACGCTACGTCCTCGTATTCGTTTTCGTGCACGATGATGGAGATTTACAACGACAAGGTCAGGGACTTGCTCGAGCCGGACGCGGCGAACCCGAAGCCGCACGACATCAGACAAGGCGCGGACGGGACGCCGTACGTCACGGACTTAGAGCGCGTGAACGTCTCGAGCACGATGGACGTCATGGCGGTCATGAGGGTCGGCGGCGCGGCGAGGAAAACCGGCCAAACGGATATGAACGCGACGTCCTCGCGGTCGCACTTGATATTCACCATCACGGTCACCGCGACGAGCAAGACGAACGCCGGGCGCGGGGAGGTCACGACATCGAGGCTAAACCTCGTCGACCTCGCCGGGTCCGAGCGCCTGAGCAAGACGAACGCCACCGGCGAGCGTCTGCGCGAGGCGAGGCACATCAACAAGAGCCTCAGCGCTTTGGGAAACTGTCTCAACGCGCTCGCGGAGAAGCAACAGTCCGCGACAGAGAGCAAGACGGCAGCAAAGCACGCGGCGCACGTGCCGTTCCGCGACTGCAAGCTGACGCACATCCTGTCCCCGTGCCTCGGCGGGGACTCGAAGACGCTGATGTTCGTCCACGCCGGACCCGCCGCGTCCGACGCGAGCGAGAGCGCGTGCACGCTGGAGTTCGCGTCTCGCGTCCGCAACGTGAGCGTGACGGCGGCGCGGAAGAATAATCTTACCGCGGGGGGCGGGGGGGGCGGCGGGTCGGACGGGAAGCTGCTCGCGCGCGCGAGGGAGGAGCTGTGCGAGAAGAACGCGAGGATCCTCGCGTTGCAGCGCGAGCTGGAGACGGCGAAGGAAAAAGCGGACGTGCGAAATCCTTCTTAGATAGCGCCAGATCTTTGTACTTTTTGGGTACAGTACACGAAATGAGGTGGTTCCGACTAAGTTTGCATACAGAGGTTCGGACCGGAAAAAATTTAGATATTTTCTGTTTCGACGCGAGAAGTGACCTGTCAACTTTATTCTGTCGATTCATTCCGCGCGCGCGCTTGAGAGAGGAAGGCGCGTCCGGCGAGAGAGAACGCGCGAGGAAGAAGGAAGCAGCGAGAGACGAAGAGCCGACGCGGCGGGGGGATCGAGGGAGCGCGCGTCGTTTACCCGCGCTCCGCGTCGCGCGATCGCGTTCGGGGGATTCGCGGAACGCGAGAGGTCACGTTGCGTCGTTTCGGAGACCGACCCGATCCCGCGACGATCTCGCGCGCCGCCTCGCGCGTCCCGCGTCGAAAGAGCGAACGCCTCTCGCGCGGGATAACGCGAGATGTCGTACAAGACGAACGACCTCCCCCCCGTGAACGGCGTCGGCGTGTCGCATCACGCGCACGCGCCGGCGTCGTCGAGAGATCCCGCCGACGCGGCCGCCGGCGAGAAGCAGCCCTCGCGTCAACGCGCGCGACAGATCCACGGCGTCTCCGCGATCGAGCTCGCGCGCAGGCTCGGACGCGTCGGCCTCGCGAACGGCGCGAGCGCGAAATCGACGCGCGCGCCGATGAAGGGGACCACCGTCGCGAACGCGAGCGGCGCGAACGCCGGGGGGATCGACCGAGGCGGCCCGGAGGCGATCCGAGGGAAAGCGACCCTCGCGCGACTTCCGGACGCGCTCGGGTCCGCGCTGTACCCGCTCGGCGCCGCCGCGACCGCGGGTACCGCGGGGAAACCCGAGAGGCGGTCTTCGACGTCGAACGCGGCGAAGGTGGCGTCGCGCGGCCCGGTCGCGTCGCGCGGGGACTCGTCGCAGAGCATCCACGCGAGGGCGCGGAGCGATTCCGTGCGGTCGCGCCGGTCGTCGTCGAGCAGCGGGGAGACGTCCCCGGGGTCCGCGTCCGGGAGGAAAGGCTTCGGCGTCGGCGTCGGCGGCGCGCACGCGCACGCGTCGGAGCAAGCTGTCCCGATGACGCCGTCCACGGTGCTGAGGAACCACGCGTCGGATCTGTCCGAGTACGAGCTCGGGGAGGTTGGCGAGTTCCCGCAGGTGTGGTACTCGGGCGCCTCCGCGGGGGTGGGGAAGAAGATCAGAGGGTCGAGGGAGCGCGGGCCGGACAACCACGGGTACGACGACGACAGGGACGACTTGATCATCGTCCCGCACGATCACCTCGCGTACAGGTACGAGATCATCCAGATCGTCGGCAAAGGGAGCTTCGGGCAGGTCATGCGGTGTTTCGATCACAAGACGAAGACGATGAAAGCCGTCAAGGTGATTCGGAACAAGAAGCGGTTTCACTCCCAGGCTTTGGTCGAGGTGAAGATCTTGGAGCACCTGCGGCACAACACGCAGGAGCGCGACGAGGATACGAACATCGTGCACATGCACGAGTACTTCTACTTTCGCGAGCACCTGTGCATCTCGTTCGAACTCTTGTCGATCAACCTGTACGAGTTCATCAAGAACAACAACTTCCAAGGGCTGTCGTTAGGGCTCGTGCGTCGGTTCGCGTCGCAGCTCCTGACGTCGCTGAAGTTTCTACGAAAACAAAACGTCATCCACTGCGACTTGAAACCGGAGAACATCCTCCTGAAGCAGCCGAACAAGTCCACGGTGAAGGTGATCGACTTTGGCTCGTCGTGCTTCGAGAACGAACGCGTGTACACGTACATCCAATCCAGGTTTTACCGCTCCCCGGAGGTCATCTTAGGGATGCCGTACGACGTCGGGATCGACATGTGGAGCTTAGGGTGCATCCTCGCGGAGCTGTACACCGGGTACCCGCTGTTCCCGGGGGAGAACGAGATGGAGCAGCTCGCGTGCATCATGGAAGCGCGCGGGCCGCCGCCGCCGAAAATGTTAGAAACCGCGACGAGGAAGACGATCTTCTTCGACGCGGACGGGCGCGCGCGCGAGGTGAAGGTCACCCGAGGGAAGCGCCGAGTCCCCGGGAGCAAAGATCTCGCGGGGATCCTCCGATGCGCGGACAAAGGGTTCGTCGATTTCATCGACATGTGCTTGAGATGGGACATCGGAGAGCGACAGTCCCCGGAGCAGGCGCTCGCGCACGAGTGGATCACGCGAGGTACCGCGGCGCCGACGACGTCTCCGGCGGCGCCGGGGCTGAACCGCGCTCGGCGAGAATCCCTCGCCGCGGGTCGCGCGATCGTCCCCGCGCACGCGGCCGTGTCCTTGGACCTCGCCCCGGGGGGGTCCTCGTCGACGAAAAAGCACGCGACCGCCGCCGCCGCCGCGGGCGGCGGCGGGTTCTTTGCTCGCTCGAGCACGAAGAAATCCGCCGCGAGCGCGTCGTCGAGCGCGATCGCGGGCGTGGCGTACAGCCCGAGCGGGCTGCAGGCGATCGGCCCGAAAGCGTCGAAGATCGGACCGTCGGTCGGCGCGTCGTCGGCGGCGACGGGACGGGGGCGGTACCTCGAAAAGGAGAGGTACCGCGGAAAAGGCGGGGCCGCGGAATCGAGCCTCGCCCCGAAGCAACGATCGTCGTGAGCGCGCGCGATCGTCGAGTTGAGTTATTACAGTACTATTATCACGCATGATGTATTCCATTAGCTGTACCACAATTTCTAATAAGACCGCAAGCAACCATCACGAACGACGCGACGGCGCCTCGCCTCGCCCGGGATAAACTTTTTGAGATCTCGAAAACGTGATCCTGGCCAGACGAGCTCCCGAACTTTCGCCGCCGCCGCACCTCGCGCGCGCACGGCGACGCGCCGCTCAAACTTCCCCCGCGCGCACCCGAGGCGGATCACCACAACCATGGCGGCGATGCTCTCGATGCTGGCAGCGCGCGTCGCGCCCGCGCCGCCGTCCTCGCGGCGCGAGCCGCCGTCGTCCTCGCGCGGCGCAGGATCGCGCGTCCCCGCGAAACACGTCACCGCCGCCGCGTCCGCGTCCGCGTCCGCGTCCGCGTCCGTGTCGCTGTCGTGCCGCCGCGCGGTCGCCCTCGACACGCTCGCGCTCGGCGCTCGCGCGCGCCGCCGCCGAGGGTCTTCCATCGTCGCCTCGCGCGGATGGCGCGTCCTCGCCGCGGCGACCGAGGACGCGACGCCGTCGTCGTCGTCGTCGTCGTCGTCGTCGTCGTCGTCGCCCGGTGGCGGATCCTTGCGCGTCGCGATATCGGGCGCGAGCGGGTTCGTCGGCACGAAACTCGTCGCGAAGCTCCTCGCGGCCGGACACGAGGTCTTAGTCCTCGCCAGGGACGTGAACAAAGCCAGGAGCGCGCTCAAGCCGGAGACGCTCCCGAGAGGCGTCGTCGTCTTCGTGCCGCTGAGCCAGTGGGCGGCGGCGGTGGCGGACGTGGACGCCGTCGTGAACCTCGCGGGAGAGCCGATCAGCACGCGATGGTCGCCCGCGATCAAGGCGGAGATAATGGCGTCCAGGGTGAAAGCGACGAAGCGCATCGTCGACGCGGTGGAGGCGCTCGAGGAGCGCCGACGGCCGAAGGTGTTGGTGAACGCGAGCGCCATCGGTTTTTACGGCACGTCGGAGAACGCGACGTTCGACGAGAGCGCGCCGCCCGGGGGCGATTACCTCTCGAAAGTGTGCCAGTCCTGGGAGCAGACCGCGATGGCGGTGGAGAACGTCGGCGTGAGGGTCGTGCTGCTGAGACTCGGGATCGTCCTCGACCGCGACGGCGGCGCGCTCGGGAAGATGCTCCCGACGTTTCAGGTTTTCGCGGGGGGGCCGATGGGGGACGGGAGCCAGTGGTTCTCGTGGATCCACAGAGAGGACGCGGTCGGGATCATCATGGAAGCGATCTCGAACGAGTCCATGTCTGGTCCGGTGAACGTGACCGCGCCGAACCCGGTGAGGATGGGGGAGATGTGCACGGAGATCGGCGCCGCGTTGGGACGGCCGTCGTGGCTGCCCGTGCCGGATTTCGCCATCCAGGCGCTGCTCGGCGAGGGCGCCACCGTCGTGCTCCGAGGGCAGAAGGTGGCCCCGAGCGCGGTGCTGAGGTCGGGGTACAAGTTCAAGTACGAGCGCATAGACGACGCGCTGAAGAACATCTTGCGATGACGCGCGAGAGGGGTGGAGGGAGCGAAGGAGTCTTCATAGTGCCACAGAGAGTGAAAACCAGCGAAAACCAAAACCTTCCACCGCGCGCGCGCTCCGCTCGTCGCCTGACTCGACAATTCGCAGATCGATCGACCGGAAAAAGAGCGATTTCGATCACAGTTCTCGACCGCGAAACGCCGCTTCGTCGACGGCCGCGTCATCAAATTAGCGAATCAGACGACGTTTCAAGCCAATGAGAGAGATTGATTTCCGCGGCCGAAAGCGTCGCTCGGCAAAAGTCTGCACCAAACGTTGCCTTTCCGTCCAGTTAGTCAGACTAAAAGCGCATACGGCTCAGAACATTTCTCGTCGTGATCCGCGTCAGCGCGAGAAAAAGCGAGAGCGGGCTCCGGAGCATCACTTGGCGACGCGCGCGGAGAGCTACGACGTGACGCCGCGAGGCTGACGCGCTGTAACGTATTCTGAAGGCCCTCACGGACCGTCGCACATCGCGGGAACGACCGCGCACGCGCGTTTCACGCCGCCATCGACGAGCTCCGAGCGCGTAAATTCGCTCGGCGGTTCCATCAACTAACGTTTCGCGGCTCCACTTGTACACGGAAAAGATGCCAAAGGTGCGCGCGTCCCGCGACCCCGCGCGCGCTCGTTCCCGCACGAAATCGCATCGCGCTCCCGGAGTCGATGATTCACGCGGTGTCGCATCGTTTTCTCGCTCGCGCGCGGGTTTTATTCTCGCGACGCGCGCGCCGCGAGCGCGTTCGCGCGACCGGAAAAACCCGCCGGCATTCCCGACGCCCGCCGGGAAAAAAAACCCGCGGTCTCGTTTCGGTTCTCCCGCCGCGCGACGGGAACGCGCCGACGCGGACGGGCGACGCCGGGAAACCCCTCGAACGCGACGCTGACGATTCCTTCCTCATCCATCGAAACAGAAACGCGGAGGAGGTCAATCCAAATCCCTCACCGTGGAGGAGCTCAGCGCCAACTTCCACCTCCCCATCAACGACGTCGCGCGCAAGGTGCGCGCGCGGTCCTCGACGCGCGACGACCAGACCTTTGATCGATCGATTCGATACGATTCGATTCGATCTCTCGCCCGCTGACGCTTCCCTCCCTCCCTCCGTCCCTCCCCGCGCATCAGCTCGGACTGTGCGTCACCGTCCTCAAGCAGCGATGCCGCGAGCACGGCATCACGCGGTGGCCGTACCGCAAGGTGAAGAAGCTGGATACCATCATCCACGCGTTGGAGGTGGCGGCGCCGGGGCGCGCCGCCGCCGCCGCGCCGATCGCCGCGGACTCCGCGGAGGCGTCGGAGAAGCTCGCGCTGTCCGTCGGCGACGCGGAGAGAGAGCGCTTGGAGTCCGTGCGCAAGACGCGTGAGGTGCTCATCACGGACCCGAACAGCAAGGCGCACCTCAGGATCGGCAAGCTCAAGGCTGTTCGCCGTCGCGTCGCGCGCGTCTCCGCCGGCGCGGGGGGCGACTCGTCGGACCGAGACACGACGACGGACGATGGCTACGCGCGGCGGCGGCTGTCCACGGGATCGGGGAACTCCGGCGGCGTGGACGGTCTCCTCGAGGCCGCGGCGTCGCTCTCGGACGGGGAAACGACGCCCGGGACGCCGAGACGAGGGGCGAAGGGGGAGCACACGCCTCGCGAGCGCTCGCCGAGGACGTCCGGGCGGAGCACGTTCGGCGACGACGACATCGCGGAGGAGCTCGGGAACGCCGCGGCGGCGCTCGGGGCGCTCACCGAGGCTGCGCTCGGTCGCGCGTCCGGCGGCGGCGGCGAAGCGCAAACTGCTTCGAAGCCGGCGGCGGCGGCCCTGATCGCGAAGCCGGCGCCGGCACCGGCGCTGGGCGGGTTCGACCCGACCGCGTTCGCCGCGCAGCTCGCGGCGTTTACGCCCCCGCCCGCGGCGGCGGCGGCGGCGCAAGCCGCGCGAGGCGCCGCGCCGGTGCCGACCATGCCGAACATGATGGCCGCGTGCATGAACCCGTCCCTGATGTTCGCGTGGATGAGCGGCGTCGCGAACGCGGCGGCGGCGGCGCAGCCGGCCGGCGTCGGCGTCGGCGTCGGGCCAGGGCAGGCGGCGGGGGCAGCGGCGTGGAATCCGAACGCGTTCGCGCAGATGTTGGCGCAGGCGAACGCGTTCACGGCGAGGGCGCAGGCGCAGGCGCAGGCGGCGGTGCAGGCGGCAGCGGGGCAGCAGAGCGCCGTCGCGCCGCCCGCGGCGCCCCCTGCGAATATCGAGTCCGCGCACCAGCCTCTGTGAGGAGGATGGTGGGCGACGCGCACCGACGCGAGAGCGCTCCGTCGGGAGTATTTTATCGCGCCCGGGGGAGACGGAACGAATTTCCCCGGGCAGACCCTGTACAACACTCCTATTATTCTTTTGCCCCGCGGCGTCGGTCGCTTTGTTGTAATACGCGACGACGACGACGCGGGGTTGATTATGAAATTGATTCTTTGATTTAGCCACCGGCGCGGGCGCCGATGGCTGTACATAACTTGTCAGTGGGGGACACGTTCAACGAGGAATCTTATCGATTGTATTAAGATGCGATGCCCGACGAATGAATACACGCGTGAACAGACCGCTCGCCTACGCCCCGCGCGCGCCCAGACGCGCGCATCGCGATCCCTCCCTCGCGCGCCGCACGATCCCGTCCACGTGCTCGCGCGCGCACGTCGTCACGATCCTTCGCTGGTACCGCTCTCTATCCTCCGCCGGTCGATTCGCGACGACGGCGGCGGCGTCGGCGGCGGCGGCGCACGCGAGCTGCGTCGTCCCCGGCGGCGCCGTCCCGCGCGGGATGATCCCTTGCCGTCGCGCTGGTCGCATGTCTACGTCCCAGGTCTTCCGCCGATGTTTCTTCGGCGGCGGCGACGGCGACGGCGACGGCGGCGGCGACGGCGGCGACGGTCTCGGTTTCGAAGACGCCGTCGCCGCGGCGGGGTCCGCGCGCGGCGCCCCGGGCGCGTCCGCGGGGAGGTAATGCCTTCGGAACCGCGACAGGCGGTGCCGTCGCCGCCGCTCTTCGCTCCGCGCGGATTTAGCCGCCTCGCCCTCGCCACCGGTCGGAGTATCGCGCGGAGCCGGAGCGGCGGCGGGCGCGGTCCTCGCGCGTCGCGTCCTCGCGTTCGCCGCCGCCGCCGCGGCGAACGCCGCGTCCGTCGCGTACGACCCGAACAGCCCTTCGCGCGTGGTCGCGCGTCCGGACGTGACGAACGCGACCGCCACCTTGGCCTTGGCCTTGGCCTTGTCGTCGCCGTCGCCGTCGCCGTCGCCGCGCGCGTCGCCGCGGCGCTGGGGGGGATCTCTCAGCACCGAGCGCGGGGTCGCGCGCGGGCGAAAATCTCGGAGCAGCGCGGGGATCAGGCGTCCGTCCGCGCCCGGGCCGTAGTCCTCGCCGTGGTCGACGCGCGCGCGCGCGCGGTCGCGTCGGGCGTCGGAGTCGTCCCATCGCGCGCCGCGTCCGCGCGCGAGGTCGCGCGATGCGCCCCCCGCCGCGGGGGCGAGCTCGGGACGGCGCAGGATCTCGCCGCGACGACGACGACCGGACGCGGACGCGACGCGATCGGTCGCGACGATCCGTCGCGGTCGCAGGCGCCGCAGCGCCTCCCTCGCGCGCGTCGCCGCGACGTCCGGGGTGCACAGCGCCCTCGCGCGCGCGTGCAGGGAACTCCCGCGGAAGCCCCCACCCGTGGGGACGTTGTTCATCCCTCTCCCGTGGCGCGCGCGCGTCGCCTCTCTGTCTCTCTGCTGACCAAAAACGACGAAGCCGGGAAACGAAACGCCTCAGCTCGGAATGGCGCGTAGCGCGCTCAGGTCCTACTGTAGCCCTCAAGGGAATGAGCGGCGGCGGCTGACCCTCACAGCTGCGCTTCAAACGAAAAACGACTCGTCTCCGCCGAGGAAGATCTGCGCGGCGCGGGCACAACGTCTCGCACGGCGACGCGGCCTCCTCGATCGGAGTCGAATCGAACGTCGTCGACGCGCACCCACCGCGCGAGAAGCGACGCACGCGTTGACGCGCGCGCGACGGACGCTCTCTGAAAGAGCTACGCGAGCGGAAGAGAAAAAGCGCAGCCGGCGTCGATCGCCGCGCCTCGTCGTTCTTTTCGGAGTCGACGGTCGCTGACGACGCGACGCGCGCGGCGCCGTCTTCATCCGCGAACGACCGACCGAGCACTCGCACTCGCACTCGCACTCGCACAAATCGATCGCCATGGGGAAGACGCCCGCGCAAGAGAACAGGCTGAAGGCGAAGAAGGCTGGGATGTCGCACGAGAAGATGAAGGAAGAGATGGCGAACGACGTCCGCAACGCGAAGAAGCTGAAGAACAAAGACTTGGAGTTCGGGCGAGAGCAAGGCCTGAAGACGAAGGCCGCGGTCCAAGCGCAGAGGCTGAAGGACATGAACGACCCGACGACGGAGCTCGGGAAGGCGACGATGCGCGCCGCGAGGAAGGCGGCGAAGGAGGCGGAGGAGTTTCTCCTTCGCACGAAGGGGATCTCGATCAAACAAAAAGAAGTCCCCGAGGGCGTGGACCCGAAGACGATCCTGTGCGAGTACTTCCGCCACGGCTGCTGCGCGAAGAGCGCGGAGCGGTGCAAGTTCTCGCACAACTTTGCGGTGGAGAACAAGCGCGCGGGCGGCGTCGGCGACGCGAAGCGAAACATCTACGCGGACGACGAGGCGGATGAAAACGACACGATGGAGCTCTGGGACCAGAACAAGCTCGAGGCCGTGATCGCGAAGAAGCACGCCGCGGAGAAGCCTCCTTCGAACGCGACGGACATCGTGTGCAAGCACTTCATGCAAGCCGTGGAGGCGAGGAAGTACGGGTGGTTCTGGTCGTGCCCGGGCGGTGCGGAGTGCAAGTACAGGCACAAGCTTCCGAAGGGTTTCGTGTTCAAATCGGACCTCGTCGCGATGATGCGCGCGGCGGCGATGAACAAAAAGTCCGACCAGGACGACCTGAGAGAGGCGCTCGAGAAGCTGAAGGACTCCGGCCCGGGGACGCCGGTGACCTTGGACGTCTTCCTGGAGTGGAAGACGAGCAAGGCGAACGCGCGGAAGGAAAAGGATGACAAGGCGAGGGAGGAGAGGCAAAAGAAGGGGCGGTTCACCGGCCGCGAGCTGTGCGAATCCGCGGAGATGAACCACGCCGCGGACGAGGGCACGGACGCGGACTCGGAGGAGTTCAAGGAGCTCCTGCGCCTGAAGAAGCAAGCGGAGGAGGAAGAAGAGGCGAGAGTCGCCGCGGAAGCCGCCGCCGCCGCGGAGAAGGCCAAGTCCAGCGGCGCGGAGTACGGCTACTCCGAGTTTGAGGACGTTCCGTCCGTGGGGATTTCCATGGAGGAGCTCGACAACAACCGCCCCGTGGACGCCAACTCGGACGAGGACTTCAGCGACGACGACGCCGAAGACGGCGGCGGCGCGAAGACCGGGGACGATGGCAAGCCCAAGGCGGTGATCAAAGCCGGCACGTTCGGGACGACGACGCAGAAGCCGGCGCCGAAAGGAGACAGCGAGGGCGGCGCCGCGGGCCCGCGTAAGCGCGGCGCCGGCGCCGGCGCGAAAGTCGCCGCCGCGCTCGAGGGCACGGAGTTTGACGACACCGAGGAAAAGTACGAAAAGGAGAAAAAAGACTCCGCGTCGCTGTCGGAGCTTCTCGGCACGGACGAGATCGACGAGTCGCAGTTGGACCCGAAAGAGCTCGGTCGGAGGCTCGCGGAGAAGAAGGCGAAAGAAGAAGCCGAGTCCGCCGCGCTCGTCGAGAAGGTGGCGAAGGAGAAGGAGGAGAAAGAGGCGAGAAAAGCCGCGAAGAAAGCGGAGAACGAAGCGAAACGCGCGGCGAAGAAAGCGAGCAAGGATAAGGGCAAGAAGGGCGGCGAAGAGGAGATCACGACGCTGGAGCAAGCCATGAAGGGCGTGGACGTCGCCGCCGCGGAATCCGCGCAGGCGGGGTCCGGGAAGATCGACAAGTCCGCGCTGAAGCGGACGGTCACCGGCGTGCTCGCGTCCCGCCCGACCGCTCGGGATATCAA